AAATAGAACTTTTAAAAGCCAAAACAATGATGAGTGAAGACTGTATTTGAACAGTACACTATGTCACAGATATTATGGGTACCTCATACTATTCTAAGCCCTTACACATAGATCATTCAGTATCCCTAATAATCCTATGAGCTGGTTATTACAAGCAAAAAATAAAAAACCAAGGCATGCATACGTGGCCGAAGCTACATAAGCTAAAAGTGACAGAGCTGGTAGGTGACCTAGGCAATACAACTTTGAGGTCTGAGCTTCTAGGCATTTTTCTCTGGTGCTATTTTTGTATTTAGATCTCATAACTGCACTAAGAAAACACATTCTCAGTCTGAGGGTATAACTTAGTGTTAGAGCCTTTGCATAACATTTCCAGGGCTGCGGGTTAGACCCCCAGAACCAATCATGTATATTCAACCCCAGGAAACCTGATGTCCAAGACTGTGCTTTAACCTCCAGTCAAGCATGATTCCTTCCAGGCCCACCAATCAGCTCCACAGGTCAAGTGTGAATCAAGCAAGCCTGACATTCAGAGTTTGATCCCCAGCACTGACACTACAAGGTTGTCCTCTTCCCACTCTTTCTGTCTATCCTTGGAATGAGTGAACAAAACACATTAAGTGGCCATACAATGCTGGGGAACTGAGACTGGGTGTGGCCAGAATTTAAAATTGGAGGCAGAGACAAGGACAAGATGATACGAGCAGCCTGGAGTTAACCAGGAGACCGATGCTCACACTGACATCCCTAGAATACTCTCTTGGGATGAGGAAGCAAGGAGTTCAGTTGCAGGACTTACCTACACACTGTGCTCAATTGGGACTAAGGAGGAAGCAACAGCAATAGAACACATATTAAAAATTTGATAACAAAACAGATGCTGGGGTGAGAGAAAACCATTCTGCTGCCACGTGGGGTACAGAACCTGACAGAACTGCTGCCCTCATGAGACTTGAGATCCTAATGAGGCTACATTCAAGACTTGGGGCTTAGGTAACAGGACATGACTGTTGTGGGGTATCCACCAGAGAAGACTGCTCAGATAAGGGTTTAAGTCAATAGAAAGTCTTTATTAGCCTGCTGGCAACTACAATGGGTATTCAGGCTCCCAGAATAGCCCTGAGCCTTTCTCAGGGTAAACTTTTAAGCACAAAGACCATGTTATGAATTAGCATACTTCAGTTAACAAGAGCAGTTAGCCAGTGCAGAACTACAGAAGCTAGAAAACAAGGTTAGTACATTTTAAGACTTTCCCAGAACTATATGAACTTTGATGGATTAGGCCATTGTTTTACTTTTGGCTGGTGTTGCTCTCTATGTGTTGAGTTTTACAGCCTGGATGGTACTTCCATCATGGAGTCAGTTGTGCTAAGGTCTGTGACCCTGTTATAGTGACCATCTCTCAAAACGAAAACTATGGGAGAGGTGAGTTTGCCATTATGCTGCCTGGGGAATGTGTGCAATATAACCATACATGCATGTGTGAGTCTGAAATACAATGTTATCTGGAGAAGCATGGTGGTTAAAGCTGAAGATAACAAAGAGTTGAAGACGCTTAGTTCTGATCTGAAAGAAAGTATTGAAGGGAAGGGCAGACTTCTCCAGCCAGCAGAGGAAATAGCCAAGAGAAGCCCGGGCAGCAGGAAAGGCCACTCAGCAACCTCGGTGCAGATTGACCAACAGTGCTGCCAGGAGCACCACGGAGGAAAAGAGAGAGAAACCTGCAAAGCCTGTCAGTGACTTCGGCTAGAACAGCTTCCACTCATGGTGTAGGGTGAAGCAGAGTGTAGTAAGGTGTGAAGAAATGGAAACAACCAAAGGAATGTTATCTTCAAAGTGTTCAGCCCAGTTACCAGAGATGTAGATGAATGCTTTTGATATGAGAAGATGTTCGTGTTACTTGAATAATCAGCTTATGAAACAGTGCACAATACAATATGTACTGTTTGTTTTCACTACATTAAAAGCAAACACAAAATGTGCTGGCATAAACAGTAGTTCATTCTGTCAGTTAACTGCATTCAAGTGGCTGGATTTATTTTATTTATTTTTGAGACAGGGCCTCATTATATATCATAAGTTGTAATCTTCTTGACTCTCCACCCTGTAAGTGCTGGGATTACAGAGCGTCCTACCACACCTGGCTTTGGGTGATTTCCAACAGGGTATCTCCTGGAATTATAGTCACAGAGAGCTAAAAGGATCATGGGAATCCTTTCATTAGTTCTCCTTCTGCTTATCTATATCATCTTAGTTTTCTATGAGAGACACATATATTCCTCTTAAGAGAACCATTTGGTGGCTGGAGAAATGGCTCAGTGGTTAAGAACTTAATGCTATTCTTCCAGACCCAAGCTGTTCTCCCAGCACCCACATCAGGTAACTCAAACTGCCTAGATTCCAGTTGCAGGCCACCTGTGGTGAACATAAACTCACACAGGCAAAGGCCTGAAGTGGCACACACCTTTACTCTCAGCACTCAGGAGGGCAGAGGCAGGCAAATATTTTGTGACTTTGAGACCAGCCTGGTCTAAAAAGTGAATCCAGGGCAGCCAAGGCTACACAGAGAGACCCTGTTTTGAAAACACAAACAAAAAATATCAAAACTAAATTACACAAGTAAAAAAAAACTTTTAAAACTCACACACATACATAAAACTCACACAAGCATACACACATACACATAAATAAATATAAATCATTAAAAAAAAAAAAGAAAAGAAAACCACTAGGCTGGAAAGATGGCTAAGAGCACTGTCACAAACCACCACCTGACAGGGAAAAGGCTGAGTAAAATAGGCCTACAGGAAGTACATCAAAGGCTGCAGGAACACAAGCAAAGTCAAACAACATGTACGAGGCCAGAAAAACTAAACGCTTTATGTTAGGGGCTGTGGTTCAAATCAAGCACGCCCTTGCTGATTTCAGTAACTACTGTGTGCGTGCGAGCGTGCGTGCATGTTACGTCCAAGAATCCCCGAAGGAAGACCTCAGACTCACAAATGTAAGAGCAAAATGTGTTTATTCTGCAGAGAAACCCAGCATGCTGGGGTCGATCGGTCATACAAAATGGTGGCGCTCCAAGGGGAGCTCGCCGCCCCGTTTAAAGCCAGGAAGGGAAATTCCTGCTGTGGCTTCGCGACTGATTGCGATTGGCCGGCTCCTTGGCATTAAGTCTTCTCAAGAGGACAATTTTGTGGAGTTGCTACTAGGAGTCCAGGGACAGAATTTAGATCATCAGGCTTGCAGGGCAAGCTGGCTTGCTGGCTGGTACATTATTTTTGTAATCCGGTCACATAATAGAGAATGACTGCTTTCAAATTGGAAAAAAAAAAAAAAAGTGTCTGAACTGAATTCTTCAGGTCCTTAATATAGTGCTTTTTACCCAGACAGCACTTTGAATTAGAAGGGAATACTATATTACTGCTTTTTTCTTTTATTCTAAGACAGGGCCTCAAAAACAAAACAAAGCAAGCAAACAAACAAACAAAAAACAACTGAACAAAAACAACAACAAAAACAGCAAAAAACCCACCTGGCCTCTAACTTGGTGGGAGCTGAGGATGACTATGCCTTCTGCCTCCACTTTCCTCTGTGAGGGGGAGAGGCAGAGGAACGAAATTGCCGATATGACTGCTCCGTTAGGGATAAGGTTTTTATTGTGGGTAAAAGAGAGAAAAGATCCAGAGGCATCTAGAAGAGTCCAGAGCAGAGAGAAAAGAAGCAGACTAGGCATCGCCAGGGCTGTGGAAACAGAACAGGAGGGAGCAGTTAATGAGTGATACAAAGTGGCCTAGAAGTCGGCACAGAACACATCCAGACACAAATTCTCAGCACCAAGGAGATTTATTTCCCCGGAGGGACAAGCAGGGGATGCTGCCTCTGGATCCAGCAAAGACAGCAGCAGGTGTTTCTGCAAGAGCGGTTGTTAAGAAGAAAAAGAGGAAGTCTGAACAAGGATGCGTTGCTAGGTCCTCACTGGACTTGTGTAGCCAAATAATGAATTCTGATTGCTGGACCTTGGTGTTTTGATAGTTGGACCTTGGAGTTTTAGTCAGGCATTGGGAAGTGGCTAAATAAGGGAATAGACCTTGGTAGCTAGCCTTAGGAATGTAATCTAACGGTTTAACAAGGGAGAGGGAAGGAGAGAGGGCAAGACCACGCCACGCCACGTTTGCAGTGCTTGGGGCCTGTTAGAGCCCTTCATGAAAGAGTTTCATGAGGGAGGTGAGAGAGCAGAGAACAGAAATTACCGGAGAGGGAATTGTGAGGAAAAGTAACTAGGGAGAGTGACTCCTTTTGAGGGTGGAAAACATGTTTAACAACTTTCTGAGGAATACTGGCTTTTATCTAACCACCAAAAATCCTATGGTTTATTCATTTAGCCTGAGCTTATTTCTAGACATATGAAGGGCCTGAGTCCTAACACTTTGACATGCTGGAACAGGTGAGTAGCCCCATGACCAAAGGTCAGGGTTTTTTTGTGTGCAGATTTGTGGTGATCCTCCTGCCTCAGACTCCCAAATGCTGATCAGACGGCTGATCCTGTAAAACAAAAATAAATAACAATGATAGGAAACAACTTCAAAAGCGGTCCACTGAGGCTACATCACAAAACTAACAAAGAGGTGAGCGCCCCGAGACAGGCCCGCTCCTCTGGAGTCCCACAGAACCCCAAGTAGGAATGCCAAGACCAAACTCTTTCAAATCCGATTTCTCAGTCCTCGTTACGGACTTTCCAGAAGGTCGCCCCACCCGGACCACGCCCACAGTCCCGTTCTGCCACCGCGCCCAGGCTCCACCCCGCCCCGCCCCCTTCCGTCCACACAAGCCCCGCCCAGCCATGCAGTCACGCAGCGGCACACTTCCGCGCCTGCGCCCGCTGGTCCTGCGGCTGTAGACAAATCTCGCGCATGCGCCAAGGGGGAACACCGTTTCTCCCCCTACCAGTACTCTTCTCTGGGCCTGCCTTATCGAGAGTATGCTTCCGGGTCGAAGGGTTTGCTTCCGGAGAGCGGGAAGGCTGAAACGCGGTGTCCGGGCTGCAGTTAAATTTGCAAGGTTCTAGGTGGAGGAGGCTGCAGCCATGGACAGGTCAGTCCCGGTAGAGACGCCTGGGCCAAGACTTGTGACTGTCGCCTGTTAGCGGGACGACATAGGCGAAGCTACCTCCGCGGGAACAGAGGAGGCGCCGAGCGTTGCCCATTCACTGCTTCCTCCTCCCTGCCGGGGGTTAGTCCCCTGATGGAGGAAAGGCCGCTTGGCGTGGGTAGGGCTGGGATGCACTGAATGCCCACCCCGCGTTCCGGAGTCCGTTCGGCGTTCTCTCATCATCGCCATTCGCTCCGAAGTGGGCGGGGCCGGTGGTGGTCCGGCGTTCGAAATGCGAACTAAACAGTCGGAGGTCACAGCCAGTTAATGACACAGGCTTCCTCAAAGTGATTTTGTTGTGCTTGTTAATTCGTATCACTTGTACATTAATGGGCATTACTGTGCTCAGCCTAGACTTTAAAGTACCAGCACCAGGTAGTTGAATTTCTCAAGTGATCAAGTAGGTTATGCTGGGGTTATTCAAGGCCCTTGGCATCGGGGAATGGATGGTATAGTGAAGGCAGCCAAGCAGTGTAATACGATGTATGAAGACTATATACGTTGGGAAAATAAATGAAGGAGATGTTAAATCCCCGTGTCACGGGAGTTTCAAGGAAACCTGTCAAAAGTAACTTGCTAGCTGGTCTTTGAGTAATAGTAGCACATTAGTAATATGAAAACGTCATGCTAAGCTTTATTTTGTGTGTGTTCCTTAAGCTTTAAATAGCCCATTTAGTTTAGAGCAAGCCTGCGAGCATCTATATAGAACAGTGAGCCTGTAAGAGATTTAAGGAACCAGATGGTTAAATAGAACCAAGTTACGGGGCTGAAGATATAGCGTCATCCTTTTGTCAGAGAATAGTGAGCCTGTGAGAGATTAAGGTACCAAGTTATAGGGCTGGGGTTATAGCTCAGTGGTAGCTTGCCTAGCAAGCCTTAAGTTCTGAAGAAAAGGAGAGAGCGGACCAGATTGCCAGCAGGGGAATTTTGTATCTCCTGTTTGTAAAGCTGTTTGATGAATAACTTAAGTAGATGTACATCAGGGGACAAAGAAGCAAATGTAGACCTTTGTAAAAGAAACATACTCAGTTATGAAGAATGTTCATATCATACTTTATGTGTCTGAATGCTGAACTCCCAAGTTGGGATTGTGTGCTAAATAATGTGCTGAGACTGTGTAGAACCGAGTGAACCATCTGGAGATTTCAAGGGAAAGGATAGCATATTGAATTGTTGTTTTAAAATCTTAGTCACAAGGTTTGTAAACCTTGAGGTACAGTGTTGGAAGTCTGGAGCACTGTAGTTTTCAAAAGGGTTGTTTCTTCAGTTTGTTAAAATTCCTTTCCTTATTCTTTCATCTCACCAAACCATATGGGACTCACAATCTAAAGTATAGTCCTGGCTGCATAGCAGTGTTTTGGTCAACAAGCAGGCCATAAATAGAACAATGGTCCCGTATGATTACATTTCCTAATGCCTTGATGACTGGCGTAGCTTGTTTGAATATATTCTATGCTGTTTACATAAGAATGAAATTATCTAATGAGGAATTTCTCAGAACCTGTTTTCTTTTATTTGGTTTGATTGTCAAAGTGGGGTCTCACTCTGTATCCCAGGCTGGCCTGGAACCTTGTGTGTAGTAGTTTAGGTTACAGGTGGGAGTCTGGCCTAAAACCAGCCCCATCAGCAAGTCAACACGATATTTTAGAGACTGCAGAAGTCCTTGTAGAGAATTCTGCAGTGAAGTAGCTCTTCAGTCCACTGGGCAAGGATTTACCTTCATGAAGCAATGTGAAGTACAGATTCAGAGTCTAAAATAACTCTGTAGGAAACATACCATTGTGATACTAGAAAGTCAGAGAGGGGGTTTATAGCTGGGCACTGAGTGAGATTTTGGGGAATAAGCAGGATTTAGAGACAAGAGGGTATTCTTGGCAAAAGGCTCTAAGACTTGTCTGGCTGTTGGAGTAACCTGTCCCTTGACTGACCCAGGACCGTTTGTTCTAACTGTAATGATAAAGTCCTTTGTAGGAGCTAAGAGCTTAATTATACAATTCTAGGAGTGGCTTTGGGGAGATGTCTTCGCCTGTGATCCGAGAGGCAGAGGTGACGCGGACTGCACGGAAGCAAAGTGCTCAAAAAAAAGTTTTAAGTATCCTTTATATTTTAAGAATTATACGAATTGCAGAATGCTTTAAATCAGTGCAGTGGGATTTTCTTTGAGGCATTAAACATAAGCTGTGATAAAACTGGTTGATTACTTCCATTGGTGTTTTAGTTGGTAGACACCTTCTCTCAGGGAACTTTAGTGAGGTTTAGATTTCTATTTCTCTGAAAAGCTTGTTCTGTTTCACTACTAGTATGTCACAGTGGTCAAGTAGTCAATACATATTGTCTAATACCGATCTGAGAATTTAAATGACCGAAGGAATTAACAACTATGTGCAGAAAAGATGGTAGTTATAAAATGCTTTGTTCTTGAAAAAAGTGTGTTCATGAATCTTGTGTAATAAATCTATGATTAACTTTAATGATTTTTTTTTTCTTTACATGGAAAACTTTCCTTAATTCTTCCTAAGTTCAGGCCAACCAAGATGAAAATTTTGGTACTACAACACCAAGAAGCCAGATTATTCCTCGAACTCCAAGCTCATTTCGACAGCCTTGTAAGATTTTGTTTCTGCTTATTTTTTATATATATTTGTTAAATTTTTATTTCTTATATTAATCACAGTTTATTCACTTTCTATCCTAGCTGTAGCCCCCTCCTTCATTTCCTCCCAATCCCACCCTCCCTCCCTCATCTCCTCCCATGCCCCTCTCCAAGTCCACTGATAGGGGAGGTCCTCCTCCCCTTCCATCTGACCCTAGCTTATCAGGTCTCATCAGGACTGGCTGCATTGTCCTCTGTGGCCTGACAAGGCTGCTCCTGCCTCAGATGGAGGTGAACAAAGAGCCAGCCACTGAGTTCATGTCAGAGACAGTTGCTTGGATATTGAGCTGCCATGGGCTACATCTGAGCAGGGGTTCTAGATTATATCCATGAATGGTCCTTGGTTGGAGTATCAATCTCAGAAAAGACTCCTGTGCCCAGAATTTTTGGTTCTGTTGCTCTCCTTGTGGAGCTCCTGCCCTCTCCAGGTCTTTCCTAAGATTCCCTGCACTCTGCCCAATGTTTGACTATGAGTCTCAGCATGTGCTTTGATACACTGCTGGGTAGAGTCTTTCAGAGTCCCTCTGTGGTATGCACCTGTCCTGTTCCTTGTTTTCTCCCTCTTCTGATGTCTATCTGGTTTGCTTTTCTGAGTGAGGTTTGATCATCTTACCCTGGGTCCTCATTCTTGCTTAGATGTTGATGGACATCTAAGTTGTTTCCAGCTTCTGGCTCTTACGAATAGGCTGCTATGAACATGGTTGAGCAAATGTCCTTGTTGTGTACTTGAGCATATTTTGGATATATGTATAGGAGTGGTATAGCTGGATCTTGAGGAAGCACTATTTCTAATTGTCTGAGAAAGCACCAGATTGATTTCCAAAGTGGTTGTACAAGTTTACATTCCCACTAGCCATGGAGGAGGGTTCCTCTTTCTCCACATCCTCTCCAGCATGCATTGTCACTTGAGTTTTTGATCTTAGCCATTCTGATGGGTATAAGGTGAAATCTCTCAGGGTTGTTTTGATTTGCATTTCCCTGATAACTGAGGACATTGAACATTTCTTTAAGTGTTTCTCTGCCATTCTATATTCTCTTCAGAGAATTCTCTGTTTAGCTCTGTACCCCATTTTCTAATTGGATTACTTGATTTGTTGTTTTTTAACTTCCTTAGGTCTTTTTATATTCTGGATATTAGACCTCTGTCAGATAAAGGGTTGGTGAAGATCCTTTCCCAGTCTGTTGTTTCTGCTTTTTAATATTTTATATATAAGTATTTGATGGAGTAGTAATCATAATGAGTGACTACTGACATTTATGTAAATTACATAATAAAATATTTAGCTACAATATGAGGAAGTAAGAATAAGTAATGATTACAATTATCTGAACTCTGATGAACAAGGAACTGTACCATACATGACTATAACTGTGACATACTGTTAATCTGCTTTTCCAAACTGGAAGGCAGACTTGGAGAAGCCGTTGTGACTGAGTTCATGCTGTTATTTAGACAGTGAAAACATAAGTCGGCTTGCTCTAAAGCTCAGGCTTGGCTGGACTGACTGGCATGCCTCAGTTCTCTCTCAGATTAGAAGGTAGCAGTCTACTGACTGTGCCTCCTTGGTTTGTATAATTGGGTCTGCTCAGTTACACTTATATTAAAAGTATCTTTTGTAGTAAAAAAAATTTAATAGTAGTATGATACGCTCAATTTTAGAAAAATAAGTTCCTCGTAACATAAAAATGTTAACATTTAAAGTATTTGATTTGAATCTAATTGAAAACTGAGAAATTGTGTGTATGTGTGTGGTGGTTTCATTATCTGAAGGTGCATGTGTAAGTGCATATTCTTGTGTGTGAGTGTCTGGGTTTGTGTGTGTGTGCATGCAGAAGTACTTGCACATATGTGTGCAAGGATATGAGTCCAGAACTGAACCTTGAGTGTTGTTCCTCAGAAGCCATCTAGCGTTTTTCAGACAGGACCTGGGACTTTCTGACCTGCCTAGACTGGCTGACTAGAGCTCCTGGTCACTCTCTTCCCCAAGACTGAGATGGCAAGTGTGCCCCGCTGTGCCCGAGTTTTTTTACATGGATGCTAGGGATCAAACTCAGGTCCTCATGCATACTTGACAAGTACTTTACCGACTGAGCCATCTGGCCCACACCCTGGAAAATGACATTCTGTTGCTGGTTCACTTGCCTTGGGTTGACAGTATTCTGACCTCTCACTTGCAGTCACCCCACCGAGTCGAGGCTTACTGAGACATCCGGACATCTCCTGCATTCTTGGAACGGAAGGGCGGTCTCCCCGGCATACACAATCTTTCGGGTTCTTGGGAAATCTTTCCATGGTATGTATAAATAAATGCACTTTAGTATTTGGCTTAAAAGCCTTCCAATGAAAGACGAAGTTATATTCATTATGAAAGAAATTTCAGGTTATATAAAATATATACTTGGTTAGACATTTGAGAAGAATCAAACGTTAGAATATATCATGTCACAGAAGGAAAACGACACAGTAATATTTAGATATAGGTGAAATGCCTGAATTTGGCTCTTTGCTAACCAAATGAAATGCATTCTAAAATTGTTGATGGCTGTTAAAGCCTAGCCCTGGTTTTGTTTTGCTTGTTGATTGGTTGGTTGGTTTTAGTTTAGGGTTTTTGTTGCTGTTGCTTGCTTGTTTGTTTCGGTTTTTTTACACAGGGTTTCTCTGTGTAGCCTGTCCTGGAACTCTGTAGGCCAGGCTGGCCTCTAACTCAGAAAGATTTGCCTGCTTCTGCCTCCAGAGTGCTGGGATTAAAGGGATTCACCATTACACCTATCTGCTTTAAGGTACAGAGAAAGCTGAAGGGGTTGTTCAGTGGGTACCGTGCTCACCTCACAAGCATGGAGACCTGAGTCCAGATCCCCAGCACTAATGTGAAGGCTGGTTGTGGCAACCCTGTAACCCTAGAGCTGGAGCCATGAGCAGAGACCGGTAGAGCCTGCAATTCACTGCCAGGCCAATCTAGCCAAAACAGTGAGCCCCGGATTGAGCGGGAGGCCCTGCCTCAGAAGTGAGGTGAAGGAGTTCTTGAGAATGACACACTAACAGCTTCTGGCGTCTTCACCACCTGCCACACACAGAGCTCAGAGCAGAAGGTGACCATTAAGAGTAAGGTCATAACGAAGAGTAAGGCTGTCTGCCTGTGGGATCCGACCACAGGGAGTATCGATTGAGTTGAGTGAGAGGGCTCCTGCCTGTTTCTGCCTCTGAATCGACTCCTTACTTTTGTAAGGAAAACCCTCTTCCCCATGTTGGATGACAGGAGTGGTCTGTGTTGTGAAAGTACAGGGGAATCTAAGTTAGGTTTTCTACCCAAGGTGGAAGACCTATTGTAAAACAATTTCTTTAAAGCTGAAAGAAGAATTCTCAGATACTGGGACTAGTGAGATGGCTCAGTGGTTAAGAGCACTGAATGCTTGTCTAAAGGATCCTGGTTAGATTCCCAGCACCTACATAGCGGCTCACAACCACCTATAACTCCAGACCCAGGGATTCAGTGTTCTCTCCTGGCCTTTGTGAGCCTCATGCATAGACACACATTCAGGCAAAACATCCAAACACATACAATAAAATTAATATTAAAGAAAACTGTAGCTTCCTTAATGTGATCACTGTCTATTGGCTGACTTAAAAATGAAAAACATGTAAACATGAAAGGTGGGGAAAAAGCCTTTATTCAGTATTAATTTACTTATTTAATGACGGACGCTCTATTGTCTTTCTTTCTTTCTTTTTTAAGGTAACTAATCTGGATGACAGTAACTGGGCAGCCACATTCTCATCACAGCGTTTAGGGTTCTACACAAACACGGAGCCCCATAGTGTGACCGAGGACATAAACCTAAGTGCTGTCATGTTACGGGAGGACGACCCTGGAGAGGCTGGTAAATGCCTTTGAGATTTAAGTAGCTTATTTCTTTGCTGAGATAAAGAAATCTGATCCTGAACACCATCAAAATGTGGTTCTCCCTGGGCCTGTAATCCAGCACTTGGGAGGCAAAGGCAGGTAGATGTCAGTGGGTTTGAGATTAGCCTAGTCTATCTAGTAATTTCCTACCAGCCAGGGCTACATAGTTTATCTTTGTCTCAACAACAGAGAGGGAGAGAGAGAGATAGAGACAGTGTATGTGAATGTGAGTATTTTAATTTGAGTGATGAAGCTTAAAAAACACTTTTTTTCCCCCCCCAAATCCTAGATGCTAGGCATCTAAGATGAAGGAATTGCAAGGTTGGATCTTTTAAGGCCTGCTTCTCTCCTTGGCTGCAGGTCACCCTTTTCCTAGCTCATCTTGCTGGGTCCTCCTCCTATGATATAGTTTTGTTAAGCCAATTAGTCATGGCCATCTTTTTTTTTTTTTAATGTGTGTTTGGGTGTTTTGCCTGCATGTATGTCTGTATACCCAATGCATGCCTACTTCTTGTGGAGCACAGAAAAGGGCATTGTATGTCTTGGAGTTAGAGATGGTCGTGAGCTGCTTTGTGGATGCTGGGAATTGCATTGGGTCCTATGGAAGAGCAGCCAGTACTCTTAACTGCTGAGCCATCTCTCCAGCCCCAACTCTTAGTTACTTTGTTGTGGTAACACTTAAAATATAATCAGATGGTCTAAAATTTGCCCCACCCCTTTTTGGTAATAATTGATAATACAGAAAATTCTAAGTAGTAATACTTGAGGTTCTTTAAAAAGATGCAAGAAAATTAAAAGTATGTAAGTTAGAGTATATAAATAATTTGTTTATCAGTATAAAATTAATAGAGTAAAAGGCAGTTGGTGCAAATATTAAATAAAGAGTTAATATTCAAACTATATAAAGCATTCTTAACTAGGAGTGGCTCGTACCTATCAACCCCAGCACTCTGGATGCTGAAGTAGGAGGATCACTATGAATTTAAGGTTGTCTTGGGCTACAGAGTGAGACTTTGTCTTAAAATACCACACACAGAACAGTTTTTATAACTCAACAAAAATTGTCATCAGTTTAGTGAAAACCAGGCAAAGGACATTTCTCCAGTGAAGACAATGGCAACCCACAGGTGCAGGTATACCCGTATCACCGGCCTGGGCAGACAATCAAGCGAAGCGGAAGTAACTCCATACAGTAACCCCGGTATTTGAGGATGCAAGCAAAAATAAGAATCCAAGGCCAGCCTTGGCTATGTAGCAAAATTGTAACAGCCTGGGCTATGTGAGACTTAAAGAAACAAAACACCATCAACAAAAATACAATAAATCAGTGCTGGGTGTGGTGGCACATGCTTAAATGCCAGCACTAAACAGGTAGGAGTACAGGTAGATCTCTGAGTTTCAGGCCACCGAGCTACTGGTTTACATAGAAAGTGCCAGGCCAGCCAAAGCCATCTAATAACCCTCTCCAGAAAGTGTGTGTGTGTGTGTGTGTGCGCGCGCGTGTGTCTGCGCGCGTGTGTGTGCGTGTGTGCCCGTGTGTGTGCCCGCTTAAGTAAGTCAAAACCAGAAAATAACTGCTAGTAGAAATGTAGAAATATAAACATACTGAGGCCCATAGGCACGATAGCACACACTCCTGTAATGCCAGCCCTTAGAGGTGAAGCAGGAGAATCCTTATCTATGGGTGACGTCAGTAGGCTACCTGGGACCTTGCCTTGGGGAACATGCTGTAGCACTGCATGTTTCTGAGGCACTTAAAGCGGTTAAACTTAGAGAGACATAAAGTGAAACGGTGGTTGCCAGGGTTGAGCAAATTATGGGCTAGAGGGTTACTGATTAATAGTTAAATTTTACAAAATGATGTGTTCTGCAGGTGGCTGTTGGTGCAGGCAGCACAATGTGTGTGTACCTAGTGCCACTAAACCTCGCACTTAAAAATTGTTAAAGATTTGTAACTTTTGGGTTTTTTTCTTGTTTTGTTTTTGAGACAGGATTTCTCTGTGTAGTTTATAGAGCAGTGCTCAGAGATCCACCAGCCTCTGCCTCCTGAGGGCTGGGACTAAAGGCGTGCATCCCCACTGCATGCATGTGCCGCCCATGAGTGCTTGGTGCTGTTCGAGAGCTCTAACTGGAGTTACAGCTGCTTGTGAGCATCTGTGTGGTGGGGGTGCTGGGAATCAAACCTGAGTCATCAGCAAGAACAGCAAGAGCTCTTGATCACTGAGCCATCTCTCCCTAGCCCCAAGTCACTAGTTATTAAAAATACAGTTGTGATGGAGGGACAGAAAAGACTTGTAGCTATTCTTAAAGTACGTCACTTCCGTTTTGTTCCCTTTTGTTTCCCTCGGTTTAGCATCCATGAGCATGTTTTCCGATTTCCTGCAGTCTTTTTTGAAGCACTCTTCAACAACAGTTTTTGATCTTGTAGAAGAATACGAAAATATCTGTGGTAGTCAGGTAAGTTATTTCTATCCCGTGGTTGGTAAACTGAAGTACTTGTAGTTTTCTCGTATGTTAACCTGCTCATTCCTTTGCTGTGCTTACTGGAGTTCCATGGTGGAGGGATGGGGAAACTGGCCAGCAGCTCTTTGCTTATTACATCTTCAGAGTCCATAGATGCCTTCTTTAGGGAATAAAAGAAATCTGCTGTTTAAAAAGCAAAGTCCGAGGCTGGAGAGACAGCTCAGTGAGAAAAATCCTTACTCTAAACGTGGGACCTGAGTTCAGATCCCCAGCATCCCAGCGTTACATGCCTGTGGGGAGCAACAAGACAGATCCAGGAGGCTGTTCACTGATAGTAACAGATGAACCCCCCTTATTGCAAGACACTGATAAGGAAGGAGTCTGTGCATATGTGGGAGCAGGAGTTTTGGGTTCTCTAGCTTTCATTCAGTTTTGCTATGAACCTGAAACTGCTGTTTATAAAACAAGGAATAGAACTTTAGAAAATTGTCATATGTGAGAATAAGCAGAAAATTGGCTTCACAAATAGCAGAGCCCATAAAGTGTTTGCCACACAAGTATGAGGACCTGGGTTCAGTATGTGACAGGAGTGTGGATAGAGAGGGTCTCAGAGGAGTGGTAAGAGGATGTCAGGGTAAAGGCAGGTGGATTGTTTATTGGCTGGCCATCCTAGCCAGTCAGTGAGCTTCAGGTTCAAGAAAGACACTGTCTCAAAAATTAGAGGGAAAACTGGATCTAATGGCACATGCCTTTAATTCCAGCACTTGGAAGGTAGAGGCAAGCTGATCTCTATGAGTTCAAGGGCAATCAGGGCTGCATACTGAGACCCTGTCTCAGTAAATAAGGTGGAGAGTGATAGAGACTCTTTAAATCTTCCTCTGACCTCGCTTGCATATACACACCCTTTACATACCTTCACAGACTTGTAAATACACAACACACACACACACACATAAACTTCAAAAAGTAAAATAATAGCCATTTAGCCATTATTTTGTTGTTGTTGTTGTTCATTTTGGTTTTGGTTTTGGTTTCTCAAGACAGGTTTTCTCTGTGTAGCTCAGGCTATTCTGGACTTGATTTGTAGACCAGGCTGGCCTCAAATGCACAGAGATCTGCCTGCCTCTGCCTTCCTGAGTGCTAGGATTAAAGGCGAATGTTACCACACCTGGCACCGATATATTTTTTAATAGTTAACAGTTTTTGTCTGTGTGTCTGTTTTATCGGCTTCCTGGAATCTATGTCTATTGGATAGGAGAGTCAGGTCCAGGCTGGATGGTGACTCGGGTGTTTAAGAGCACAGACTTTTCAGAGGACCCGAGTTTAATTCCCAGCGTCCATGTTGAGTAGTGCACAACCACCTGAAAGTACAGATGCAGAGGGATCCAACTCCTCTAAAGCCTCTGTGTGCAGCTTCATCCCTGTGGGGTTTCTCAGCACAGACACACAGACACACAATTAAAATAATAAAAGGAAATCTAGAAAAAAGTGTCGGGGCCTCTGGAACTGAAGTACAGATAGTTGTGAGCTGCTGTGTGAGTGCTGGGAATTGAACCTAGATCCTATGGAAGAGCAGTCAGTACTCTGAACCACTGAGCCATGTCTAGCTCCTAATATGAGTAGTTTTGAACCTTTTGTATTGTATGAAAGGGGGTGCTTGTGTGGAGGTCAGAGGACAAATTGTGTTAGTCAGTTTTTTTTTTTTCTCCACCACCATGTGGATCGGGTCAGCAGGCTTGGCGCCAAGCACCATTTCCCACTTGACTGTCTCATCAGCCCTCAACTGAGGATTCAGTAAATGGATAATGCACACATGATACTATTCCTAAACACTAGTCTTGAGCGTTATTTCTCTTGTGCACGCTTTCTTAGAGGGTGGGTCTTGTGTGGTTCTTGTAGTCTATGAGGATAAATAACTATTTTTCATCTGCCTACATGTGTTACTCAGCACTTCTGAGCAGATTTCTCTTGTGTCCAGTCCCTAAGCTTCTTGTTAAACAATCTTGTGTGTGTTTCAAGGACAGTATTTGTGTAGTTTTTATTAGGTTCTCTGTGTGTCCCAGTCCCCTACAGGGTTCAGATCACTAAGTTAGAGAGAGGAGAAACTTTTTGAAATTTTGTTTAGAAATAACATGTTTTGGTACCAATCATTAAGAATTTTATTTTCTTGATTTGTTACATGTCATAAGTTTATCAGACATGATTTTCAATAGTTACTGGTTTATATGATTTCGAAAGGCAAATTTAATGTATTTACTGGGCATATATATGTGGAGAGAAAAAAAATACACCTGTGGTTGTGTTGTTGAATCTGAAGATTAGACTATATTAAGCTTTTATATATATATTCAAGTAAATATATCTTGCTCAAATTAGCATAATTTCTGGTGAAGATGGTGAAAATTGCATTCTACTCTGAAACATAATGGGTAGTCAGAAAAATGTCTGTTTGTGTGTATATACTGTACAAGATTCCTGGTAGCACTCTGTACCTGAACAAAAAGAATATTTGCTTAGTTTTGAGTAACTCGAAAGTGTAGAGAAGAAGCTTCTTTACACCCTTTTTTATTTTAGGTGAATATACTGAGTAAAATAGTGAGCCGAGCAACACCTGGACTGCAGAAGTTTTCAAAGACGGCCAGCATGCTCTGGCTCCTTCAGCAGGAGATGGTCACTTGGAGGCTGCTGGCCTCTTTGTACAGGTAAAGTTTGAAGAGCCCATAGTGAGGTATGCTTGAGGGAGCAAGCCAGTCAGGAAATTAACTATTAGTGAGAGGTGGACTTAGCTTAGGTTTGCTTGAGATGTATCATTTCTAATACTTGAGATGTGGATAGTCAGGTATAGGGAGAGGGGCTATCAGTTCATAAAGCTGGTGGCTACAAAAAAATCAGTCTGTAGCTGGACAAAGGTAGACACCTGTAATCCCAGGAGGGTGAGGCAGACAGGCTGAGAGTTTGAGGTGAGCCTGGGCTTGAGAAAGTGAAGAAAGAAAGAGACCTGGTGGTTTGGGGTTTTATTAAGGATTATTGAAAGAAAATCATAATTAATTTTGCCATATGAAAAAGATACGTGCCCTTAGGCGTCAGTAAAGGCTACAGAAGTAGTTACAAGTTTTGTTCAGGCGTCAGTGTTAGAGTCATCGCCTATTTACTCCCTGTGTCTCACATTACATGTGATGAGTGAGTTACATTACATGTGATGAGTGAGTTACATTACATGTGATGAGTGAGTTACATTACATGTGATGAGTGAGTTACATTACATGTGATGAGTGAGTTACATTGGCATCTCATTTATTTCTGCCTGGGAGAGTGTGGAACAGCTTCAAAAGGTGGTTTCTTGCATTTGTTGAAATAAAGCTTTCTCATTTTTTATTATTTTCCCCAGAGACAGAATACAGTCTTCATTAGAAGAGGAAAATATGTTTGCAATTGCTGTAAGTATTCTATTAATTTTTTTCCATTACTGATGCTACAATTTGGAGATTTGATTTTTTTCAACCCACCATTTGTATTTTCTGATTTAAAAAAAAATTACAAGTACATAAAAGATACCCAAAGTAATCAAATATTTATATTCATGGGTAAAGGTAAAAGTTCTTTTTTAATCCCCGTATTATTTATCATAATAACTTGATTTACATCCTATTAGATGTTTTCTGCACATCTTTATACTAAAGTGTCAGGTCAAAAGTAAACAGTGTCTAGTTTAAATTTTATTTATATTTTTTTCTTTTTGGTTTTAGAGGCAGGGTTTCTCTGTGTAGCCCTGGCTGTCCTGGAGCTCTCTGTAGAGGCAGCTGGCCTCAAACTCAGAGATCCGTCTGTCTGTGCCTCTCAAGGGCTAGGGTTACAGTTGGGTGCCACCACACCTGGCTTTATAAAGAATTTTTATTTTTAAGTTGTTTTGTTAGTTAGGGTTTTTGTTTTTAATGTGAATTGGTGTTTTCCCTGCTTGTATGTCTGTGTGAGTTTGTCAGATCCTGGAGTTACAAACAGTTATGAGCTGCCATGCTGGGATTTGAAGCTGGGTCAGCTGGAAGAGCAGTCAGTGCCTTTAACCTCTGAACCACCTTTCTAGCCCCTATAAATAATACTTTAAGAATACATATATAGCACGCGTGGTACAGACACGCATGAAGGCAAAACACTCATGCACATAAAATAATACACATAAATTAAAAAAAAAAAAACAGTACATACACAGCCAGGCAATGTGAAACAGGAGTTGAGAGGCAGAGGCAGGCAGGTCTCTGGCTTGCAGACCAGCCAGGGCTACACAGTAAAAGCCCTTCTAAAAATGAAAGAGAAAGCCCGTAAAATAAAGGGTAAATATATAGATGTGTAAACACATTATTTGTAACTGGCCTTTGTCGTGAAGTCGTCTTAGAACATCCTTTTCTTTTCCCTTTAACTGCTGCTGTCCCAGGCTGTTAATGCCAGCGAGAAGACAGTTGTGGAAGCGCTGTTTCAGAGGGATTCACTGGTGCGACAGAGTCAGGTATGGCTGCATTTCTTAAGTTATTTCTTTAAATAACAACTTTTGTGTTTCCAGGGATAGACTATTAAAAATAGTACTATTCCTGTAGGAAATACTGTTGTTATATATTTATCTTAAAAAAGTCAAAATAGTGGTTGGAAAAGTTATTTGATATCAGAAACTTCAAATTAAGGATGGAAGTACTACTAAAATTAAAACAGATTTTAGAGTTACAATGATCTTTTTTATTTTCTTTCTTTCCTAGTTGGTGGTAGATTGGCTAGAGAGTATCGCCAAAGATGAAATTGGAGATTTTTCTGACAATATTGAGTTTTATGCAAAATCGGTATATTGGTAAGTGACTAGACTTTTGTTTTATCTTGTTTTTAAGAATATTTTTTTTGCCAGGTGGTGGTGCATGCTTTAATCCCAGCACTTGGGAGGCAGAGGCAGGGGAATCTCTGCGTTCAGGGCCAGCCTGGTCTACAGAGTGAGTTCCAGGACAGCCAGGACTACATAAAAAAAAAAAAAAGAAAGAAAGAAAATAAGTGCAGATCTGGAGATGGCTCCGTGATTTAAGAGCATTGGTACTCTTCCAGAGTAAATGAGTTTGGATGGTTTACAACCACCTGCAACTCCAGCTCTAGGGGATCCAACACCATATTTTGGTCTTAAAATTTTTTTAATAGTGAAAAAAGTGGGAGCTGATAGGTGTGGTGTCACATACCTCTGGGCCCAGCACCCAGGAGGCAGAGGCAGGTGAGGCCCAGTTGCAGGCCAGCTGTTCTACATAGTGAGTTCAGGCCCTCCAGAACTACATAGGTAATGCAGTAAACAGCAACCGCTTAAACAAACGCCTCATCAAAGCCAGCTTACAAGTGACCACCAGAGCATGAAATGAGTTCACCGTCCCCACTCATCTGAGACAGACTGCCTTTCTGTGTTAAGGGCTTTGTGCATTTTTCTTCATTTGTGCCTTTTTTTTCTTGTTTTGAACACACAGGTGTACATGTCTGGCAGGGGTTGGTTTTGTTGTTATCTATCAAAATAAATAAATAAATAAATAGTATTTGGATTGCGCCTTAGAAAACTGGTCTTTCCCTCTTTTGCTCCTCTTCTCTTGCTCTCTTGCTCCCTCTTGGCCTCTCTTGGCTCCCTGCCCTCTCCCCTTTCTCTGTTGGGGCACCCCTCTCTCTTTCCCCCTCCATCATGTCCTGCTCTCCCTTTCTCTCTTCATCTCCATCTAATAAACCTCTTTCATATAAAAAACAAAAAAACTCTTGTCTTTCTTTTTTCAGGGAAAATACCCTCCACACCCTAAAGCAACGGCAGCTGCTGTCCTATATAGGAAGTACCCGTCCTCTTGTCACTGAATTGGTAAGTTCCTAGTCACCGTGACTACTGTTGGGATGAGACGCACCACCAAAGCAGCACAGGAGGAGAGGGTTTATTTGACTCACACTTCCATGGCACTGTTTGTCACTGAAGGAAGTCAGGACAAGAACTCAAGCTGGGCAGGAACCTGGAGGCAGGACTGAAGCCGAGGCCATGGAGGGTGCTGCTTGCTAGTTCCCCAAGGCTTGCTCATCAGACTTTCTAATGGAACCCAGGATTGCCAGCCCAGGGATGGCACCACCACAGTGAGCTGGGCCCTCCCCATCAGACACTAATTAAGAAAATGGCCTATAGCTGGGTCTTACGGAGGCATTTTCTCAGTTGTGGTTTCCTTCTTTCAAATGACTCTAGCTTGTTGCAAGTTGACAAGAAACCAGCTAGGACAGTAAGTGTTCTTGGAAATGAAGATTGTCTCTAAGGATCATTGATAGCCTTTCTTTAGTCACAGTAAAATCACTTTTGTTTAAATTCACTGATTGTATGTGCTATCTCCCGCTAAAGTGAGGATTGTATTAATGCTAAATGTTTAAAAACATACAGAAGTGATAAGGAGTCATGATTTTACAAGTTCTGTGGAATTTGTTTCTGTTTTTGGAGATGATGTAGTGTTATTTATGTGTATATGCATTTGTGTGGGGATATGTGTACTTGTCAGTGCCTGTGCCTGCAGAAACCAGAAGAGGGCGCTGGAGTTACAGGCAGTTGAGAGCCACCAGGCTGGGGCAGGGAAGCAGACTCCTGCAGAGCCATCTCTCTAGTCCAATTTTTGGTGGTTTTTTGTTTTTTGTTTTTTTTTTTACCCCTTGAGACAGGATGTAGTGTCGCTCAGGTTGGCTGTGAACTTGAGATCCTCCCTCTGCCTTTGAGTGCTCTGGGATATTTTCACTTGTTTATTAGTAACTAGCGTGTAGTTGGGTTTGTTGTTTTGTCTTTGAAGGGGTGGGTGCGGTATATTTTTGGTTGTGTTTCACACTCCTGAGGATTGAACCCATGTGTATGCTGAGGTACCTTTCCACCTCCAGCTCCATTTGTGTCTCCCATGGAGAAACCTCAGAGTGAGGACTGAGTGAGCTCTCAGAAAGCTCATGCTTTCTAGTCAGGCTAGAGAGCTTCTAGTTTCCATTTGTGCTTGTCCATTCTCTAGGTCTACTTGTAGTACAGTGAGGGAATAAGCTCAAATATGTAGTGTTGCCTGCCTGGGCTGGGCTAGGATAATGGTATCCTGTGCTTGGCGGACTAGGCATGCACCATATTGGGCCAACAAAGTCTATTTGGGAAGGGGAGCAGCAGACACATGTGCCAATTAGGAACCCTTCTGGCACTTCATTCTCTCTATTAACTAGATTTTAAAAGAATTTCTTTCTGTGTGTGAGTACCATATAGATTTACCATGTCATGATGGTTTTAAGGTGTGTATAGGTGTATATAGAACCAACATTGTAGCTAAAAGCTCAGCATTTGAACTGTCCTGAGTTGGATCTCTAGTACCGTATGCATAACTGACTAAGGTAGTAAATAATGAATAAACAAAAATCTTTATAGCTCATAGTGAGTTGTTTCTTATAGGATCCTGATGCTCCCATTAGACAGAAAATGCCACTTGATGATCTGGATAGAGAAGATGAAGTTAGGTTACTCAAATATCTTTTCACTCTAATCCGTGCTGGAATGACAGAAGAGGTAAGTGATGTCATACCCCTGCCGGGTCAGGCCCCAGGTGCCGTGAACTTGACATTGGAGAGTGTGCGTGGCCCCATCCAGCGTCCTGCTCCACCCTCATTGGCATTTCCTGACAGAGCACATGGCTGTGAAATGTCAGCCAGTGTACTCTGATCTCCAGAGCCCTTAGCAGCTCTTCAGCAGCCTCTGTCTTGTCCTGTTGCATTGCATACTCTAGGTACAGCCTCCTTCTCTCTTCTCATGTTTATGCATGTCACTGGTGATACTACTTACAACATTGGGTCTTCCATTTCTTCCTGGTAATGTTTAATTTAAGGAAATATCAATGGAGTAAATAAGTGATAGCTCTCTCCTCATATTTTTTCTTTTGTTTCTTGCTTCTTTTATTTTGCGCGCGTTTGTGTGTGTGTGTGTGTGTGTGTGTGTGTGTGTGTGTGTGTGTGTAGTATTGGCTGTCCTAGAACTCATTCTGTAGACCAGGCTGACTACTCTTTCTCCTGAGTGCTAAGATTAAATGCATGTGACACCCCCACCTGGGTTATAGAGACTTTTTATAATAATTTTTATTCCATACATCAAGTGTCCATCAAATCCATTTTTTTTTTTTAAGTAAAATTCCATGTTAGTGAGCTAATGCCATAGAACCCTATTAGCAATTCTAAAATGTTGAAAGAAGGGAATTACTAGAAAAATGAGGGGCCCGGTTCAAGCAAGCCTCATGTGCTTGAAGCCGTGGTTTGATCCCCAGCCTGGACAAAATAAGAACCGAACAGCCCAGCTCTACGCGTTTGTGGGCAAAGTGGAGTGCCATTACCATTGCCTCCCGCATCCCTGGGACAGTTGTGCCACTTGGTAGCTCAGCTTGTCACGCTGGGTTCTGTGTTTTTTCAGTTCCGCACCAGCGGTGTCGCTCACAGTTCTCTCTTTCCGAAGGCACAACGGCTCTGTAAACGTTGCGGGCAAGCATGGCGAGCCGCGACCCTGGAAGGCTGGAAACTGTATCATGACCCTAATGTTAATGGAGGTTTGTTGGGCTTTATTCTGAGTCGGATGTGGAGGTATTTGGCTGTGTACCTGAGGTTTGGTGAATGGTAGTCTTTCTTTGTAGAAGCAATTGAAATGCTTCATTTTAAGTGATGAATTTCCCTGTATGTTTTGCAGGGACAGAGCTAGAACCTGTTGAAGGGAATCCATATAGACGGATTTGGAAGATTAGCTGCTGGAGAATGGCTGAGGATGTAAGATACTCACCTGCACGCCAGTTTGATTAAATGAAGGTGTACTGGGGAGCTATGAATGTTCAGAAAAGCTTTAGTCAAGTTAGGACTAGGCTTGCTGACTTAGCAGAATTGTGCAGCCACCACGTACTAAGAATTAAACTTTGCTGTGAGGCAGAAGCACAGGAGACAAAGCACGAGCTAGGGAAGGGCAGTTGGCTAAAGCTTGCAGCCACCTTTCTCAGAACACACCCACATGTAACTCTTAAAACTTAGATTTGGGCTGTTGAGAAGGAAAACTCAAGGTCGGAGTTGAAGGTAAATAGGTTGGGAAGCTAGAGGAATGGGAGGTGTGTGAGGCTGGACAGAAAGCTCAGACAGGAAGTACCAGTTCTGTTATGAATGACAACCATCCTTCTAAAGTCACCACAGAGTGCAGGGTTGTGCAGAAAATCTCACAGGGTTTATAGAAGAATTAATGGGGTTACGAGAAAATTCTTTAAAATGCCATCAGTTGCGCATAAAAAGTGAATAAAAATGAGAGCTGGAGAGATGGCTCAGCAGGTCAAAACACTTGTTGCACAAGCTTCCCAGCCTTATTTGGTGCCTGGAACCCACCTAAAAGTGGGAGAGAACTGACTGCACAAAGCTGACCTCTAACCTCTACACATGCTCTGTGGCCTGTGCACCACACCTGGGCACGTGTACACTCTCTGTTCATACAATAATAATAATGAAAACTAAGTTTTTTATAGGCAATAAAATCAGTGTTACCTTTGTCAAATAGTTAATAAGTGTAGAGAAACAATAAGCAGTGTACTCTTTTTTTTGTTTTGTTTTGTTTTTTTAAGCCCTGGAATTTGCTTGTTGTATTGGATGTCAGGAAGTCGAGAGCGGAGTGTTTAAGAAGAGGTAAAATTGAAATCACAGGAAGAAATTAGGAGCCTGTTAGAATTATTCAGCCACTAATCAGTAAGGCCCTGCCTGTGATGGTAGTGGTAGGAATAAAAAGGGGAGTCTCGGGGCTGGAGAGATAACTCTCTGGAAAGAGAAATGTCTGAGTTCAATTCCCAGCAGCCTCATGGCAGCTCACAACCATCTGTAATGGGATCTGATGCCCTTTTTTTTTTTTTTTTTTTGGCATGCAGGTGGATATGCAGAGAGGGCACCATATAAACTAAATTTTTTTTAAAAAAAGTCTCTTTTTGATGAAGAAATCTTAACATGCCATTGACAGAGCCCTTACAGCAACATAGAATAACCGCTTAGGAACCGGATGTAGCTGATGACCCCGTGCCTGATTTGTTTCCGGTCAACATCAGAAGGCATTGGTGCTACACAACAGTGTAGGGGAACACACCTACCTTGGTTCTGTGGAGATTAAGACCTTATCATAAATGATCCATTGGCGTTGCCTTACTTTCACTATGCACTTGAGATTTAAGTAATTGATTTTTTTTTTCCTGAAGATTTTAGAATTATTTTTCCAAACCAAAAAAATCCTTCCTGCTCCCATCTGTCACCGAAGCTGATGAATTAAGTGACTAATTCATGAATCAATGAATCAATCTAGAATTATGAAGAAAACTCACACACTAGGAAAAGTAATAATCACAAATCTTTTTACTTACTGTGTTTTAGGAACTTTTTAATAAATACGAAAGAGCGATTTATGCAGCACTGAGTGGGAATCTCAAGCAGGTATGTGAGCTATGGACTAAAACCAAACAGTTAAATATTCTCCTAATTCTGTGTGGCAAACTTGAGCAGCTTTCTGACAGCCTCTGTGCCAGAGATCATCAGAAAGCAGAACAGTGATAACCTGCCTGTTTTGAGAACCACATACACATAGTTCTCACTTGTTTCTGTGGGGTTTTGGTTGTTAACTTTTTTCTGTTATTTTGTTATAGTTTCTTGATACTAGCTCATTCAAGCCTCATATTTGCTTTTTTGCTGTTATATTTTGTTCGTGTTGTTGAGACTAGGGTCTTGCTTTGTAGATTAGGTTTCTTCGAACTCATGACGCTACTCCCTCAGGCTTCTCAGTGGTAGGATTACTGATGCACTGACTTACATGAGGAGTCGCAGTATCCATTTCCTCATGACTCTTGTACCCAGTGATCTGTCTAGAGATGCAGTGCTGATGCACAGTGCCTGCCTGGGCCTAAGCCCGTGTATGGGCTCCCCAGAGCCCCTTTGTCCCTCATGTTTCAGCAGCTCTTCTGAGGGATGCTGTAATAATTTCAGATACCCTTTGTTGTTAGCATTCCAAGTCAGTGTGACTGAATTTGTTACAGAAAAAAATCTTAATTATTCAAACTTCTCAGAAGTTCTAGTGTGGGAGAAAGGAGGTTGTTTGGTATAAAATTTTAAGCCCCGTGGTGTTCTCTGTCATTAGAAGATGGTTTAAAGTCCTTGACTGGTGGGTAGTCAGTTTCCCTTTCTTTTTTGTTGGCTGTATCGGTGTTTCTGTTCTGGTTGGATGAAAAGCTTCTTCCTGTCTGTGACACCTGGGAAGACACAGTGTGGGCCTACTTCCGGGTGATGGTGGACAGCCTGGTGGAGCAGGAGATTCGGACGTCAGTGATGACGCTCGATGAAACGGAGGAGCTCCCTCGAGAGTACACGGAGGCTAAGTGAGTGCAGAGCTTCGTGCTGGGCGCGGTGGTTGCTGCTGCTGGGAAGCTTTGCTGCACAGCACCCTTCATGTTGTCATTTCTGTCCCTTTTTGTTTTTCCTCTTTTAAAGCTGGACCTTAGAAAAGGTTTTTGAAGAACTTCAAGCCACTGACAAAAAGGTAAATGGTCATATAACCCTGTTATGTGTAGCATATGAAATTAATGTTATGTAGTTGTACACTGTAGCTGAAAGGGGGAAAATGTGGAATCCTCCTTTCTCATCTTTTCTTTACTGTTATCAGAATAAGATACCTCAAAAGTAGTATTTATTGGGTAGGACCTGGTAGTCCATCACCATAAGTTCCAGTAATGACTGAGCTACATAGTGAGACCCTGTCTCAAAACAAAATGAAAAGCACTTTTTTAGTGTTTCTTTGCAGTAACTAATGTATATGTACTAGTAATAATAATAGTAATAATAATAATCTACCAGTAAGACCTGTATACCTCCTGCCAAGCCCCTTGCCCTTATCTCCTCACACAGTAAAGCATACCAACACAAGCATGCTGTATCCTTCTCATGGCCTTTCAAGCAAGTGTCAGTGGCGAGGTACTGTGTACAGGATTGGAGTCTCTTTCATATCACGTTGCCCCACGGCTTGTTTTTTCCATTTAATGGTAATCCCTCCACGTTACTTGCTATATTTTAGCCAATTTTTTTTTTTTTTTTTTTTTTTAAGAGATAAGGTCTTACTGAATACCTCCAACTGCCTTGCACTTACTAGTAAGCCCAGACTGGCCTGAGGCTCCTGGTAATTCTCCTGCCTCAAACTCCCAGGTGCTGGAATTTCAGGTGTGCTGTCACACATGGCTTTATTTTTTGTTTTGTTTTTCGAGACAGAGTTTCTCTGTGTAGTCTTGGCTGTCCTGGATTCACTTTGTAGACCAGGCTGGCCTCAAACTCACAGAGAGCCATCTGCCTCTGCCTGCCTGAGTGCTGACATTATAGGCTTGCACCACCAAACCTGGCTCAGACCTGCCTTTAATGTCTTTATTTAAAAAAAAAAAGAAAAAATTTTTCTTTAAGTTAGCATTCAGGGTGGTTGGTTTCATCGTAGTTTCTTCATACATGTGTCATTATTCATTGTTCAAAGTCATTCTCCTTCCACTGATCTTTTGATAGCTATATAATGTTCTGGAGAATAGGTATAGAAGGTTTTGTTTTCTTTTCTTTTCCTTCCTTGAGAAGGTTTTCACATTTGATTCTGGTACCATAAAGAACATGTGTAATGTGAAGATGTGTGAGCTTCCTGCTAGTGCTGTGTCTTTAAGGCTAAGTTCCCTAAAAACCGTGTTGACGGTGCTGCCAGGTTAAAGAACACAGTGTACCCTTGGAATGTGTAGTGCATGTACCTCAGCTTTCTAAGTTACTGACAGTTATCATACCTTCAAGCTATACAAGTGAAGCTAAAAGAGAGAAAAACATGCTCAACAGGAAAGTATCAAGATTGCAGTAATGAATACTACCACAAGTAATTTTTTTACATTGTGCATTCATTTCAGTCCTGAATGTTACACTTTATAGTTTTGCTAGCCCATCAGTGTAGGTAGGAATCAGGGCTGAGTTTGTTTCCCTGTGTCTATGTGTAAATTTCTTTTAAGACTTTAAACATTTTTTAAAATTTTATGTTAATTGGTGTTTTCCCTGTATGTATGTTCTTGTGCCACATGCATGCAGTGCCCGTGGAGGCCAGAAGAGGGTGCCAGATCCCTTGGAATTCAAGTAACAAAGTTATTAGCTGTCATATTGGTGCCTGGATCAAACCCAGGTCCTCTGAAAGAGCAGCTGTTGCTCTTAACAGCTGAGCTGTCTCTGTGGCCCCTATTTGTTTATAAATTCCTTATTTTGTCCAATAACTTTTCTTTTGGGTTTTATTTTTCTATATTATTGAATGGATGTACTTTGTGCAGTATGGATATTAATGCTTTTTCTGCCAAGGGTTTCTGACTAGTGTGTATATATTTTGGAAACTGTATGAGTAGGTAAACCAAGTCAGGACTAGAAGTAACTGTCTCAAGGTTCAGGGACGTTACCTATGGTGGCAACTGAAGGCTGAGGGAGTTACAGGCAATGTGTTGCGCACACTTACATGGCACAGCCATCTGTGCTTGCTGTAACTACTTAGAGAAGAGCACAGCGCCCTGCTCCCAAAGCCTCTCATTCAAGCGAGTGACTAAAGGAAAAAGGCTAGACATAAGATATGGAAGTGTTTCAGGACCCCGTAAACAATAGACTTTTATTGAAAGACATAAAATAAGACATGGGGGAAGTAGATCAAACAATTCTGAATGAGAAGATTTGAAAATGTTAGTCATTCTAAAATTAAAAAAGAACCCTAATAATTTGGGGAGATTGTTTTTTTTGGGGAAAAAAATCTAAGTAGAATTATAACTAAGACTGAGAGGAACAAGGAAAAAGCCCCAGCAGCACTTACAGACTGAGCAGAACAGGGCAGAGTGGCTGTGGGGAAAACAGGTCAATGACCCCAAGTCTAAGAACAGGCATGTTCATGAGCACAACAGGCGTCAGGCATGACCTTTCCCATGGAAGGAAGACAGCCCAAGCCTTAACTAAAGCCATGTAACTGAGCTAAATGCCACATAGAGCAAATGCTTTGGCTGTATAAAAGAATAAACATTAAGAGACAATTGACTGCTAAGAAAAATTAAAATATATTTGACAAAAATTTACTGATACTTCAAAAAAAAAAAAAAGCATGCAGTTATCTGGTCACCACTGTCTTGCTACGCTCAGTGACACCTGTAGAAGAAAATAACCTTAAAGTGATTTTGCGTAGTGCTGTGTGTGTTGAAATATTATCTTGTGCTTTATTTTGCGTCAGACCCCTGGGTCCTTCTGTTCTACTTTGCCATAGTATGCCAAGATAAGCAGGAATAAAATGTAAAGAATAGTAAGTTTGGGGCCCGCAGTGCCTCAACGGGTGACGACTCCAGGCTAGGCCTGACCGCTGAGTTTCTTTTCTAGGCTGCACATGGTGTCCCCACAACAGTGGACCCCACAACTTGCCTCCTGACCTGCAGGGGCACTGTGGCATGCATGCCGTTACACATCTGCCTGCACTCATGAGGGATAAATACGTGGGTGTTTTAAAAAGATAGGAAGTGGAATAACATTTCCTAAGATTAGACTGTCTTACAGAAGATATGCTCAGTTCTGTGTCTGTGTGCTATAAATATTATCCTAAAGGCAGCATCCCTAAAGCCTTTTATTTCTAGCTTCATGTACATGCCATCAAAAATTGGACATCTTCAGTGTAGTAATAAGTACATTCTTCTTAATGAACGCAGAAAACTTAAGGCAGTGTGAACTTTTTTGTGTGTTTTGTTTTTTGTTTTTTCAGAGAGTTCTGGAAGAGAATCAAGAACATTACCATATAGTTCAGAAATTTCTTATCCTGGGAGACATTGACGGTGAGATACAGTTTGGTTTTGCTTTGCCTGGGTCCTTCATTTGTAGGTAGTCATCTTTGTAGCAGACATTCTTACTAGTCTTTGAGTCCTTTGCTGGCCTCCACCCGCAAATATAACATGCTTACTGGTTGCTGTAAGGCCAAACCTGAGCTGCGGTTTCCAAGGTGGAGAGCGTCCCGTGGTGGGAGTGGCAGCGGGACTCCCAGCTTCCCGTAGGTGTGCTGGGATGTCCCTGGTGATGCTTCTTTCTCCCTGCGTGTTGCTCACTGTCCAACCTTTACTCTGGCGGCCTGTAGGTTTGATGGATGAATTTAGCAAATGGCTGTCCAAGAGCAAAACCAATCTCCCTGGACACCTCCTCCGCTTTATGACTCACCTTATTTTGTTCTTCCGCACCCTGGGACTGCAGACCAAAGTAAGTAAAAGTGGACAGCATTTCCTGCTCTCCATGCTTACAGTTTGTCTCCTAACGTCAGGATCCTCTCCTGTGGTCACCTATTGATCAATCATTGTGAGTGGTTTGTTAGGTCTAGTCTGTGGCCACGGAGATCTCTAATGAGATCTGATGCCTTCTTCTGGTGTATAGGCATACATGCAGGCAGAACACTGTATACATAATAAATAAATCTTTTAAAAAAAGAAAAGCAATTGTATAATTGTATCTGTAAGTAATTGTGTTAGTAACCAGATTATGTTTTTTTTTCTATGAAGGAAGAAGTTTCCATTGAGGTTTTAAAGACATATATACAGGTAAGCTTATAGACTATAGAATTTGATTTTTTTTTCTATTTTAATGAAAGCAGAAATCAAACTGCTAATGTTTTTTAACATTTTTTTATGTGTATACGTGTTTACATGGTTGTATGTTTAGTGTGTGCATAAATGCATGTGTGAGTGTTGTGTTTTTGTGTGTGTGTGTGTGTGTGTGTGTGTGTGTCTGTGTCTGTGTGGTGCTACAGGTCAGAAGAGGGTGTTGGAGTATTGAATGGTTGTGAACCACCATGTGGGTGTTGCAAACCAAACCTGGGTTCTTTATAAGAGCAACAAGTGTTCTTAACCACAGAGCACGTCTCCAGCCTGCAAATTATACTATTTTAATATCATATGGTCTGGAAGCCACCAGAATCCACAGAGCTCTTTGAATTATTCTAAATACATTTCTAGAATTTAAAAGTATTATGATCTGAAACATTTATCTATCTATGGGCCTTTCCTAAATATATTTGAAATTGTGAAGCAAACTTTTTCAAAGCACTGCTAATTTATTTGGTCTGCTTTGCTCTCTGTTTCTTAGCTTTTGATAAGTGAGAAGCACACAAACCTCATAGCGTTTTATACCTGTCATTTGCCACAAGACCTTGCTGTTGCCCAGTATGCATTATTTTTGGAAGGCGTTACAGAGTTTGAGCAGCGACACCAGTGCCTGGAGCTGGCTAAGGAAGCAGGTAAAAGCAGTCAGGAATTTCACTCATTATTTCTTTTTAGGTATATGTTATATAAAATAATGAGTTTTGTTGGACATTTTCAAATGAGTATTTACAGGAATTTTGATCATATTTACTCCCCTACACCTGTTCACATTTTAAAAAATATGTTTGTTTATATAAGAAACAGAAGTGGGAGATTTGCACCTGGCAGGGCATGCACATGCCACAGAACATGTGTTGGTCCCTCCTTCCAGTTGATCCTGCTGCATGAGCCAGGCTGGCTGGGGCAGGGCCTTCTGGGGTTCTCCCGTCTCTGCGCGCTTCTGTAGAAGTACCGTGAGACGCTCACGCTGCTGAATCGCGCAGCTTTTCATTAGATTGCATTGGAAATGGCTCAGGCCTCCCAGTGGGTAGTGTGCGCTGTGGCCACTGCAAGGTGTTCTCAGCACCCTCATAGGCCTTTGCAGGCACATTTTCATTTTGGCTCCGGCATTTGTCCTACTGTTAAGTCATTTCTTTTGATGGGAAACATCTCAGTAAAATTCTTTTGGAGAATGAAAATATCTTTTAACTTGTATAAAAATTTTGTTTCTGGTTTGGTTTTTTGTTTGTTTGAGAAAAGGTCTTACTCTGTAGCTTACATTGCCTGAAACTTGCCCAGGCTAGCCTCAGATTCAGTAGTCCTGCACTTTGGGCTCAGTAGTCTGCTCAGTACCAAGTACTGGGATTACAGGCATAAGTCACACCTGCTCTAAAATATTTTTAAACTATGATATTTTTCTTATGTTTTTCAGTTGTATGTGTTATATTTAAAATAATGGGTAGCAGTGCACACATGTTCGTGTTCCATGGTGCACATGTGGACATCAGAATACAACCCACAGGAGTGACTATTTCCTACCGCCTGGGTCCTGGGGATTGAACGCAAGTCATCAGACTTGGTGACAAGCCACTTCACTTGCGGAGCCATCTCACTGGCCCTGTGTATTATATCTTTAAGAAATTGTTTTAGGAGCTGGAGAGACGGCTTACTGGTTACGAGCACTGTCTGCCCTTTCAGAGGTCCTGAGTTCAATTCCCAGCAACCACATGGTGGCTCACAGTCATCTATAATGTGATCTGATGCCCTCTTCTGGCATGCAGGTGTACATGCAGATAGAGCACGCATACATAAAATTTAAATAAATAAATTTTAAAGAAATTGTTTAGGGGGTGGGGACGAAGCTCAGTGGCAGAATGCTGTCCAGCATCTGTAAAGCTCTCGGTCAATCCTCAGTGCCAAAAATACGAAAAAGAATTACTCCAAATTTACCAAATTGTAACTGTTTAAAGAATGTTCATATTAATAACTACTATTTGGGTTTTGTTTTGTTTTGTCATTTCCTAAAATTTCTTAGATTTGGATGTTGCAACAATAACAAAAACTGTAGTCGAGAATATTCGTAAGAAGGATAATGGTGAATTTAGTCACCATGACTTGGCTCCATCCCTAGACACTGGCACAACTGAGGTAATTTGGGTGAGGGGAGATGAAAGTTTAATGTGACTTATATTCTAGCTTCGTGTTCTTTGGTGAACTTCAATAGAACACAGTGGCTTCTGTCTGTCTTTTTTAAAGAACATAAAGGCCTTAACTTTTTAAAATACACTTATTTTTATATTGTGTGAATGGGTGTTTTGCATGAATGTATGTGTGTACACTTTGTGTATGGCTTGTGCCCAAGGAAGCCAGAAGAGGGTGCTGGATCTCTTGGAAGTGGAGTTACAGACAGTTGTGGGTCGTCGTGTGGATTTAGAGAATCAAACCCATGACCTCTGGAAGAGCAACCAGAGCTCTTAACCACTGAACCATCACTCCAGCCCCCCAAGGCCTTTTAAATGACAAAAATTGGCAGTAGTTTGAAGGCTTTGTTGAAACACTGAATTATGATAAAGAAGCCTTTTCAGAGCATGCCAGAGTATTCTCTTTTCACTCATCAGGTTCTGCTAGATACTTTAAAAGCCGCTGACTCCTGTTTTTAGGAAGAAAGATGAAATCTCAGAAGGAAAACAACTTGGGGCTGGGAGTGTGGCTCAGAGCTGCATGCTCTCCTAGCATTTGTGAGCCCCAGGGTTATTTCCTGCATCCCATATCAGATGAGTTAGCTTGGTGGAGCATACGATGAATAATTCCAGATTGATAGGCCAGTGGGGTTTTTCTGTAATTCAATAGAGAGCTGTTAAGAACAAACCAACAAAAGTTGGGTTCGTTCTTAATTTTTATATAACTGGGGAAATTTTATCATTAGAGTGCATTACCAGTTCCACTTGAAGTAAAATGTATTTTCTCTTCTTTCAATGACTAGGAGGACCGCCTGAAGATCGACGTGATTGACTGGCTAGTGTTTGACCCAGCACAGAGGGCAGAAGCACTTCGGCAAGGCAATGCCATCATGAGGAAGTTCTTAGGTGGGTTGTCTTGCCCTCTTACAGTTTCTGATCTGATTCTTAAGTTTGTTTTTTATAATTTGATTTTGTTTTTACAGAACATTTCATTTATTTCATAAATAAATGGGAAGGTGGGATAGTTGGTAAGGACTGTAAGCGCACCTTAGTCCCAGAGAGCAGGTGCTCTTGGCAGTCAAGTGCCTCCACCTGTGCCTGCTGTGATCCAGTGACGCACAGAGGAACATCTGAAGTGACGCATTAGTGCTGAGTACTCATCCATTCATCAGTAAATATGTACTGGGCTGAAGAGATGGCTCACAGTCAAGAGAGCTTGCTGCTCTTGTAGAGGAACCGAGTTCAGTTCCTAGCACCCATGTAGCTGCTCACAAGTATCCGTAACTCTAGTTCTAGGGGAACATACATGGAGGCAGAACATTCACACATATGATAGAAAATAAATAGGAAACTGAACAGCCTGAGCAGCTATGTCTCCAGCATGCTCAGTCCATGGGATTAGAGTCACAGTTTTGACCTTTCCTGTCATCAGTGACAGGTCTTGTTCTGAACAATAGTCTTTGCTTTTGCGCTGGAGAGTGCATGTGCCATGGTACATGTATGGACATCTTACTCTCCTTACAAATGACAACTTCTCTCCTTCCACCATGTTGGTCCCAGTGATGAACTCAGGTCTTTGGGCTTCGCAATAAGCACCTCTACCTACGGAGACATCTCAGCTGGGTCCTCACTCTTACAAAGCACAGGGCACCTTGGTCTCTCAAGTCAGCAGTACTTTTTTTTAAGATTTATTCATTTTATTTTATATGTATGGCTATTTGCCTACATGCATATATATGTGCACCACATACAGGCCTGTTGGCATAGATCCCCTGAAACTGAAGTTACAGACAGTTGTGAGTGATCATGTGAGTGCTGAGAATTAAACCTGGATCCTCTAGAGGCGCAGCCAGTGCCCTTAAACGCTGAGCCACTGTGCAGCTCCAAGTCAGTAGTTCGTTAGCAAAAACTGTATCTCCAGACAGGAACAGGTGACCAAGGAACCGCACTGCATGTGCAACTAAAAGGCTGAGAGATCCCACAAAAAGATGCATAACAGTGGACCTCATGTGGCCAGCCATGTGCTAGCACAAACAACTGAGCAAAGCTCCGAAGGAATCCCATCCAGATACACTTTATAAAGGTTCCTTATATCGTTCTCAGTTTCAGAGTGAATTTCCTTTATGAACAGTTAGGGAGTTCATTATTTAGTAATGTCTTAAAACATAACCTAGAAACATAACAATCTAGAAACAGGAACTGAAAAAGGACAAACATAATGCTTCAGAGATCAAGAAGCATTACATAGTTCACCTTTTAAAAGTAGCTCACCATTCCCTACGCTGTTTTGTATTGGAGTAGCAAAATCGGGCTGAGGCAAGCAAGCAAGGCAAGTGTGCATTCATTCTCTCTGCTCCTGACTGTGGATGGGAAGTGACTAGCTATTTTGATGTTTTGCTGCCTTGACTTCTGCTGTCGCTTGGATTGTAACCTGGAACTATGAACTAAAGTAGACACTTTCTTCCCTGTGTTGCTTTTTGTTGGACTATTTTATCATAGCAACAGAAATGAAATTAGGATACTTTCCAACTTGGTTTGTAATCTGAGAACCACAGGCCCTTGTTTATACTCATCTTAAAATGGTACCTTCCTTGTTTGCACAGATAACTTCTCTCTTTCTGGTTCTCTGAAAGGCTGTAGCTCAGTGTGCTTCTCCACACACCATTAACAGGTAGACACAGACTTCTAAATTGCATGGATCAAAAGCTATTTGACTAGTTCCATAAGCAGAATAAAATTTGCTCAGATCCTGTTCTGAAAAGTCCTAGACAAGAATGCTGCCTCTGCCATGTTTCTGTGAGAAGATGCAGCCATAGTTCCTGGTCAGCTGCCTACCATGGCCAGCTTGCCAGACAATGCCACCACTTACTCATTTTTGTTTTTGCAGTTTCCTCCAAAGGTGAGAGGACCAGTGAGTCACTCTGTTAGGCTTTTTATTGAGAAAGCAAACGCATTTAATAGTAAGTTTTCATTATAGTAATCAGCTTTGTATATGATGTCATAGCTCTCAGGCTTTGCAAAATGTCATTTTAACACATAGATATATGTGAAAGAAACAGCCTTTGTGTTACTGTCACACTGAGGTAGTGAAGAGCCAGGCCATTGAGTAGAAAGATCTCCAAGACCTTTGAAGAAGTCTGGGACCTAAAATATAAGATTTGTTATTTGTGATATGATGCTGTAAGAAACCGTACACAAGACTAGATGTGATGACGTATATCTTTAATTCTAGAACTAGGGAGGCAAAGGCAGGCAGATCTCTTGAGTTCAAGGCTAGCCTGGTTTACATAAAGTTCCAGGTCTCTGTAGAGAGACCATGTCTCAAAAAACAAACAAACAAAAAAAAAAAATTCCAATACATGGAAATTTATATATATTGATTTTTTTTTTTTTCCCACAGCATCAAAGAAACATGAAGCTGCAAAAGAAGTGTTTGTGAAAATTCCTCAGGATTCCATCGCAGAAATCTATAACCAGTGGGAGGAGCAAGGCATGGAGAGCCCTCTTCCTGCTGAGGATGATAATGCGATCCGAGAGCATTTGTGTATCAGAGCCTATCTGGTGAGACTGAAAAAAGGACTTTAGTCCTCACGATTTTCCCTATCTACTCTTGGGCCTGAGCTGTAGAGATACAATTTTTTATTTTTAATTATGTGTAAGTGTGTATGTTTGCAAGTGGGTATGCACACATGAGTGCAGGTGCCTGTGGAGGTCAAAGGCATCTGATCCCCTGGAGCTGGAGTTACAGACAGTGGTGAGCTGCCTGGTGTGGGTGTTGGGAACTGAACTCAGGTCCTCTGGAAGAGCAACAAGGTGGCTGAGCCATCTCTCCAGCCCTTGGAGTTTGAACTTTTTCCTGAAGTGGTGACTGATTTCAACTAAGGTCCTTTGTGAAGACAGCGCTGACTCACTCACAGGGGTTGATGTCACGACCTTGTCATCTTTGGCATGAATCTGTCGATTGCTGACCAGGCAGGGATAGATAGTATGTGATGCCTGGGACCTACTTACGATTGTATATGTGCTTCTGCTTTTGGCAACGACTTAAAAAAGGCAAACGTTTCAAGTGTTAGAGTAAAAGAAACAGCAAAATCACTGTCAGTGGGGTTTATTCTGCACATAAGTGATTGCTGTAGATAAGCACTTGGGCTAGGTTGAGGATAGACTTATGTCTTTGACTATAAAAACCAATTAGCTAGTGAAGAAGAAAAGGAAGCATGCCTACCACATAGAATGGTAAGTGTTAAGATAGACATGAGCATGGTACTCGGTTAAGAGTAAATGCCAGCTGTGCATGGCGGTGCATGCCTGTGATCCCAGCACTTAGGAGGCAGAGGCAGGTAGATCTCTGTGATTTCGAGGCCAGCCTGGTCTACAAAGCCAGTCCAGGACAGCCAAGGCTACACAGAGAAACCCTGTCTCAAAAAACAAAACAAAAAATAAAAATAAAAAAAAAAGTGGATGCCAGAAACAAAACAAAATACTTTGCCATTATTGTCAAATCATAGAACTTTTGCTTATTCATAATTTTTTATTAAGAATTATTTCTAAAAAATAGAACTTTTAAGAGCCTTTTGAGCAATAAAAGTGAAAACTTTTGTAATCTCAACACAAAGGAAACTGAGGCAGGAGGATTGGCGCAAAGCTGAGGCCAGTCTGGGCTTCATAGTGATTTTCAGACCAACCTAGTCTAAAGAGTAAACAAAATGTAAAAACATGTATTTCATTTTGTTTAACTTCAAATTTTAGGAAGCCCATGAAACCTTCAACGAATGGTTTAAGCATATGAATTCGGCTCCACAGAAGCCTACAATGACATCTCAACCCACTTTTACAGAGAAAGTGGCTTATGAACACAAAGAAAAGAAATATGAAGTAAGTTAAATGTGAGTCTGAGTTGAGCCTATTTGATCTTAAAAATGTGTGTATTTAGGTGAGTTTTTGTTCTTGTTTTTTTTTTTTTTTTTGTTTGGGTTTTTTTAGCATTTATGCTCTGATTGGAATGGGATCTTCCTGTTATACATTGTGCTTTGAATCATGTTGACTTTTCCATAGGTGATTAATCTTGAGAAATGCTGCTAAGCATGGTGGCTCATGCCTTTAATCCCAGGACGTGGGAGCCAGAGCCAGGCAAATTTCTGTGAGTTTAAGGTCAGCCTGTTTTATATCCTGAATTCCAGGCCAGCCAGAGCTCCACATAGTGAGACCCTGTCTCCGAATATAAAACAAACAAAATAAGAAAAGAAAGGAAATAAAAATACTTTTAGACATTTTATTCATTTACTTAATTAACATTTTAGCATTTTATTTATCTCCTTTGGTGGCTAGCAGAATTTTTTAACTCATTAAGAATTATGTCTTGTCTATATCTAAACATGTGTCATTGTTAATTGGGTCCATTATGCGTGGTTTGTGTTTGCTCTGCAGATGGACTATAGTATTTGGAAAGGACATTTGGATGCCCTGACTGCTGATGTAAAGGAGAAAATGTACAACGTCTTGCTCTTTGTTGATGGAGGGTGGATGGTAGATGTCAGAGAGGTAAGTTTTGTGTTTTGTTTATAGCCTTAAAAATCAGAATAACAAGCCAATGAGATGGCTCAGCTGGTAAAGTCACTGCCACCAAGCCCAGAGACCTAATTTCAATCCCCAGGATTCAAATGGTAGAAAGAATTAACTTCTGCAGATTGTCCTCTGACCTCCAAATTCAGACCCACATATGGCTACCAACACACATGTATATAAATAGACACACAATGCAAATAAATGTATTAAATATTTTATTATTACTTACCTTATGTATATGAGTGTTTTGCTTACATGTTTGTCTGTGTACCATGTGTGTGCCTTGTGCTTGTGGAGACCAGAAAAGAACATTGGATCCCCTGGAAGTAGAGTTACAGATGGTTGAGCAGTCACAGAGGTACTAGGAATCCCACTCAGGTCCTGTGGAAGGGCAGTAAGTGTTCCTAACTGCTGAGCAATCTCTCCAGCCCCCTTTTAAAAATTAAACCACAAACCCACAACAGTAAACCACACATGCTGTGTCTTCTGGTGGTCCTTCTCTAAATAAGAATATTTGCAGATTTGATATGGAGTTGATAGTTAAACTAAACCCTTTTAAGTTTAACTGAAAACACTAGCTTGGAATAGGAGTGCTTCATTCTTGAGTAAACCTTTCACATTCAAAAAAGTAAACTTTTCATGTTCCCTCAGACTAACAAAGGCCAAGTTTTTAAAACTCTAGACTTAAAATTACATTTATTTACCTAGTTGTTGAGTGCATAAGGGTCATAGTGTATAGTAAAAGCAGGCCTTGAACTTACTATGTGCCAGGCTGCCCTGGAACTTGAAATCTTTCTGACTGCTAGTTTACAGACAAATCCCACCCAGCCTGAGTCTAAATTCTTTTTACTAGCTCTATTTATTTTACCTTATGTGAGTATTTACCTCTGTGTGTGTATGTGTACCACATGTGGGCATAGTGTCTGCAGAGGTCAGAGGGGAACAGATCTTCTGGAGCTGGAGTGAGGGATTGTTGTGAACCACCATGCGGGTGCTAGGAACTAAACCTAGGTCCTCTGTAAGAGCAGCAAATGCAATTAAGCACTGAGCCATCTCTCCAGCCCACTTAAGTTAAATCTATAATGATGGGTATTTCACTTAGCTTAGAAATAGGCCAGCCTAATACTATAAGACATTGAAAGCAGCAGCTTCCCTCTGTGTGGTGTTCCTCTTCTTGTCTCAGCATGTCCTCTTTAAATACAGACTTCCACCTCTAAAGAACAGGCTTCAAAAGTATTACGAGGTGTAAACTGGGGGGAGGTGGCACATGCTTATAACCCCAGCCTTTTGGGGGCCCGAGTTACAGGTGGTTGTGAACCGCCTGACATAAGTGTGGAGGTCTGTCTGAGCTTGGGTCTTCTGCTGAGCCATCTCTCATATTTGAAAAATAACAGATCATTCATTGCTTTTCAGCTCTCAAGAGATTCCAAGATATTTTGTGGTTTTATTGTCTAATCTAAAATCAGTAACCAAAATTTAAAAAGTTATGCATCAGTATGATCTTACTTCACCAGCCCAAATTAATCAGAAGAGAATGTTTTGGTCTAAGGAATCCACTGGACATTTAAAATTATGCTGGGAGTTTTATAATGAGCCTGAGGACCAAGCAGTAGACTCTGAGGGCTGAGGATGTAGTTCAGGGAACGAGGCTTACTTAGCATGTGTGAGGCCTGAGTTCAGTCCCCAGTATCATGAACAAAACCCAAAAAGCTCAGAAGTGAACACTGTTAGCAGTAGCAGTAACAGCAGTAGCAGCACTAATCTCGGCCCCTCCCTCTCAAAATTCATTTCCTGTCAGGAAAGAAAAGCTAAAGAGATAGGAAGATAGAAAAAGCAATACACATGCTGTGAGGGATGGCAGAGGAAAGGACACCAGGGCATGTGAGCTCAGGAACCGAGCTGTGGTTAGAATGACATTCCAACTATCCCAGCCACGGGATTTCTGTCTAGTTCTCTTTAGGGATCTGTCTCCAGAAGCCAAACTGAGTCACCACTCAGGATCGGTCCTTGCTGTGGTTTGAATGACATGTCTCTTAGGTTCCATATGTCTGAACACTGGGTCCCCAGTGGGTGGAGCTGTTTGGGGATGTTCTGAAGACTTGTTGAAGTGTAAGCAGGTGGGTGAGGGCTACAACCTGACCATACTTAACTGCACACAACAGCTGCCTCTCAGCTGCTGCCAAAGCTGTGCCCGTCAAACTGCAAGCCCAAATGAGCTCATTCTCTCCTACGCTGCTCCTCATTAGGTACTGGGTACACACTAAAGTACTGAGACTACATTCCACTAGAGCAAAGCCAGAACGGGGAAACATTTAGTTTCCCTGGAGAGAAAAAAGATGGCCATGTATGTATCTGCAGGTGGTCCTGACTCTAAGGGAATTCACTGACATAGCAGTTATGATCACAGTTAAGCAAGAAGGATCAGGGTGGGAGGAGGGGTGAACAAGGAGAAGAAATGTATCATGACTGACTCCCTTTTGTGTCCTCCTCAGGCAGCCATACATACGTGGACACAAACACACAAAAATAAAAATACCTGTTTAAAAGTATAAATAAATGAAAATTATCCAGCCTTCTTCACTTCCTCAAAACTAATCCAAGAGAGACTGTTTTAAAGGTCAGACACTAAATCTACTGAGTTCAGTGTACTGCTCCTAGATATTTATGAACAGGAAACTAGCAGGACTGCTGCTGCACATGCTGTTTACATATGAATTAGAGACTTGCACCCCCTCACACAGGTAGATTCCAGGTCATGTAACATGACCTTTCAAGATAGTTCCTTCTCTTGAGAAACAGAAGTGTTTCCATTTTAAAGTTAAAACACATGAAGCATGCATTTTTCTTTGGTTTTTCTGTATTTCTATCCTAAAGCAGTATTAGCAGGTTAGCGGGCAGCGATCCTTCTGTGCAGAAACCTCTCCTAGCTTGCCTGCTGCTGGAGGAGTCACCACATCCTTTGGGTTGCTTCACTCCTGCAGTATCTGCCCTTGAGAAATGCTTCGTAATTTAGTGTAATGGCCTTACAAAGAAGGCCATTCCCCTCCCCCCTGAGTCTCAGTGCAGTCATGTCAGGCCTTGATACCACAGTCCTCTTGCCTCCCTCTGCCTTAGGGGTGCCACTGTGTTAGCCATTTACACTGTGTGTGCCTTAAGTTGGTTAATGAGGCTTCGTGAAGGAGTAGTTACGTTCGCTTGCTCGCTTGTTCCCTGTTTTGTTAGAGCTTGCACTGTGAGCTCTTCTATACATCTGTTTATTTTACTTCCTGTGCTGTTCAGGGTTAAACTCGGCCGTATACATGGTAGACGAGGGCTCTACCCCCAAGTTCACTCCCAGGGCTTCCTTCAAACAAACAAAGCACATTTAAGTTATCTGTGTGTGTGTTCCTCTCTGTGGGGTGGTGTGTTTAAGTGCAGCTGTCTGTGGAGGTGAGAGAGCACCGATCTCCTGGGGCCTGTGAGGTCCCAGCAGGGTCCTCTCCAACAGGATAATGTGCTCTCCACCTCTGACTCTCCAGCTACTCCCTCGCTTTAAAGAGTATTTCTAGAACTTTACTGCGTTTGAGTACCTTTTAAAAAGTATTTTGATGACTTTAGTTTTCCAGTTTGTTATAAGAAAATACAGTGGGCATAGAAGAGCTACTGTTTTGTTGTTGTTTTGTTTTGTTTTTTTTCTGCATTTTCCTGTCCAGATAATTCTTTAGAAAGATTCCATTCATATTTGGAGACACTGTTTTTACTATAGCCACCCCCCCCATACACACACACACCCAGTTTTGGTTTCTCTGTAGCCTTGGCTGTCTTAGAACTCGCTCTGGAAACCAGGCTGGCCTAGAACTCAGAGATCAGCTGCCTCTGCCTCCTGAGTGCAAAGGGTATGCATCACCACTCTCTGCTAAAATTAGTTTTTGTTTAATTTTATGTGTATGGATGTGTTGCCTGCATGTATGTACAAGCAGTGTGCGATGAGGCCAGAAGAGGGCATCAGATCCCCTGGCCCTGGAGTTAAAGACAGTTGTTAGCCACCATGTGGGTGCTGGAAATCAAACCAGAGTCCTCTGGAAGAGCCTCCAGTGCTCCTGAAAGCTAAGCTGTGAGCTCTCTTCTCTTATCAACCATTATTCAAGTCCATAAGTTCCTTTAATTTTTCCATTTTTTTAACTATATAAAGAAATATTCTTCTAGAAGCTCACAAGTCTTTACACAGCTCTCCCTGTGTTGACCCCTCTTGCTGGCCTGAGTGTAGTCAGGTTGGCGTGTTCTCTAAGATCACAGACTTCTGCTGTTACATCTACATGTATTGAGGGGAATAAGTGGTGATTATTTTCTTCTCTGGCTTTTACTCTTAAGGTGTTCAGTGTCTGATTCTTTTTTTTTTTTTGTGGGCCATTTGTCTAGATGCATTAGAAATACATTAACAACATCTTATTTCCATACTGTCTCCTCTGGTATATTCTGTTAATCTTCATGTCTTTGGCCATAAATTTTTATTTTTAAGAAAATGTAGTTCGATAGACTAGATAATTTGATTGACACTGCCCTGCTTTAATTTTTGGGAGGCTTGATGAGGGCTAGGGTGATGGCTCAGATAATAATGCCTTTCAAGCACCGGGACATGTATGTGGTCTGCAGAAGCTCCCCTTATAGTCCTAGCGCTGAGGAGGGAAGGACAGGAGGACCTTGCACTTAGCAGCTAGACAGCCAGCCTAACCAGTGAGCTGGCCTGAGAGTGACAACCAAGATTACTCTCTGGTCTCAGTACTTAAGCACACATGCATGCCTGCACCCATACACATGTGTACCCACACACATACAAACGTGCACACACACACACACACACACACACATATATATATATATATATATTTTTTTTTTTTTTTTTTTTTTTTTTCCCAAGACAGGGTTTCTCTGTGTAGCCCTGACTGTCCCAGACTCGCTTTGTAGGCCAGGCTGGCCTCAAACTCACAGAGATCCACCTGCCTCTGCCTCTCTGAGTGCTGGGACACCACCACGCCTGGCATGCACATACATTTAAAAATGTAGGCCTGGGAAAAGCTTTGGGAAAAGAAAAATTAGTGTTTGCCTGTCCTGATTTTGACTAAGTAGTTAACCCTCAACATACCTACAGTATTGATTCTAGGACCTGGTAGAGACAAAATTGCTCCCTTTCATTACATAGGATGGATTGTGTGATATGATATTTCATGAAGCCCTCACACATCCTTCTGGTCTGTAAATTTTCTTCAGATCACCTGCACCTACTTTGGTATAAGTGCTGTCTAAAGAGCTGTTGTATTGTATTGCTTAGCAAATAATAACAAGAATGAAAAATATGCATGTTTAGTACAGATGCAACTTTCCCTCCCCCACAATATTTTTCATTTGTTGTTGGTTAAATCTATTGATTCCTAACTTGACTAACTTTGGTTTTGGTTTTGTTGTTCTGGGGGATTTTGTTTGTTTGAGACAGGGGGTCTCTCTAGCAGCCGAGCACACTGTATCTAGATCAGGCTTGCCTTGACCCTGCACTTGCCCTCCTGCCTTGGCATCCTGAGTGCTGCCGTTTGGAGTGGCCGATGTGAGCCAGCAGCCTGGCTGTAGTTGACTGTTGTTTGTAAGGTTATGTACTTAAAGTTGTGTGCCTGTGTCTAGGATGCTGAGGAAGACCCTGAAAGAACACATCAGATGGGCTTACTCAGAAAGCTCTGTCTGCCCATGCTGTGCTTTCTGCTGCACACCATACTGCATAGCACCGGTCAGTATCAGGAGTGCCTGCAGCTGGCCGACATGGTGTCCTCTGAGCGCCACAAGCTGTATCTGGTGAGTCCCTGAGCATTTGCACTTTTAACTCTTACCACTTGACATGCTCACATGGTGGTATTTGTGAGTACTTGTTTATAGTTCCTGCATTTTCTGAAAACAATGTTCCAGTTTCATTGCACATTTTTTCAAAACATGTCTGTATGTATAAACAGATGTGCCTGCCCTGAAAACTAAGCAAGGTCCTTAGCCACATAGATCTTTGAGGAAAATGTATTTTTAAGATTGACTAGGGTTTTTTTTTAGGTTGATATTCTCATTTAAATTTTTTTTCCCTTTTTAATTGTCAGGTATTTTCTAAGGAGGAACTAAGGAAACTGCTGCAGAAGTTAAGGGAGTCGTCTCTAATGCTCCTAGACCAAGGGCTTGACCCACTCGGGTATGAAATTCAGTCCTAAATCACCTACTCTCTGACACCGCCCATGACCACAGGAGGATACTTCCTTGCTTGGTTTTGATGAACTATATATATTTGTAATTATTGGTTTGTTTGTTTGTTTGTTTTTCCTTTGTTATTCTGGGGGAAAATGTAAATTTGAGCATTTGAATTTTGTATTATATCAGTATTTCCTTAAATATTTTTTAATGAAATTATACAAAATAAAATTTTTGTTCTATAAATACCAATTTTCTCTTATGCAATGGAATAAGGAAATAAAATATTTTGTTATGTTTTTTTCTGTAATCATAAGTTCCTGATATATTAAAATTTAAAAAGAATAAAGAATAGATTGATTTTTCAATCCAGGTAAGTAATTTCTCATTTAGTATTTTTCTGAATATTAGAGTCAGGATGAATCTAGCAAGACTGTTTTAAAATGAGCTGGAGAGCTGGCTCAACAGTTAAGACCACGGGCTGCTCTTCCAGAGGACCAGGATTTATTTCCCAGTACACATACTCTGTCTTACAACCGTCTGTAATTCTAGTTCCAGAAGATGTAATGTCCTCTTTTGGCCTCTGTGGGCACCAGTATACACACGATGAACAGACATACATTCAGGCAAAACCATCCATGAAAAAATAGAAATTAGCTAAGCACTTACATGGGTGGCAAGCCCAATAGCTGTAACTTCATCTCCAGACGACCAGACCCCTCTGGCTAGAGCACCTTCACTCATGTGCACGCACCCAAACATATACACAGGTGATATATACATTTTTTTTTCTAGAAAGAGGTTCTGTATTAGTTTTCTTAGGTGTGATCATTGGCATTCTGGCAATATAGGGAGTTCCCTCCTTTATTCTTAGGAGATTCATGCTGAAATATTTAGAGTTGAAAGTCATAAACTCTGCACTTTATGTTGAAGTAGTTTAGCTTTAAAATTAAAGTACAGACAGATAGAGCAACATGGTAAAATAGGAATTGTCATATTGGGAGTTGTTCTGATGCTAGCCCTCAATGTCTGGTTAAACATACTCTTGTATAAGCCTTCCTAAGTTGATTAAGCAGCCTATACCTGGGCAGGGCAGAATGGGGTAGACGTAGCTAAAGTTCCTGGGCTTTGGATAGGAGAATCACAGGAGACAGAAGGATGGGAAGAGAGGAAGAAGGAGGATGCCATGGTGGGTTAATTGTGGAGAAAAAAACCACATGGGCTGGGAGGAAGGACTCCAATAATGGCGTGAAAAGGCCCAGATGAAAAACAGAAGCAAGTACCATGGGATTATGGATGGAATGTGGACCAGATGAGGAAGATTCAGGTGAATGGCATTGGATGGTGAGGTTATTGAGACAGTGTAAGCGAAATATCTGCCCAGCCTAAGGTAAATAAGGCAGTTATAAAATCTAACAGGTACCTGTGTCTTTTTATTTGTGATAACAGGTTAAATAATAACAATGCCATGATTATCTTAGGGCTAATAATAATATATAGCCCAAAACTATTTTTTATTTACTACAACACAGTCTAAAGGGCAGAGAAGCATTTATAATACTAATCTTTCAACTTCCTTTTACGTTTAACTTTTTTCAAGATAAAAGATTTACATAATATTAAAAAAAAACTGTAGCAAAAGAATTGAGTATGCATGTAGGTAATAAAGGAACTTTTATTCTGACTTTATCCCCGACAAAATTCACTAGAGATGGATGGTATTCCTACATATAGACGCTAATGTGCTCTTAAGAGAAAAAGCCATGTGTAGTTAGGCGCCCCTAATCCCAGCACTCAGGAGGCTGGGCCAGGAGGACTGCAGCTACGATAAAGGCGCCTGAGATGTAGCGAGTGAGAGCATTTACCTAGTATGTGCCAAGCCCTGGGTTCAGTGCTCTGCACAGAGGGGACAGAGAAAAACGTAATTTATCATTCACGCTGATTATCAGCTTGAGTCTATAAGCACTGAGACCCAACTGAGGAGTATAAATGAAGGGCTCGCTCTCTCTATTCTCTCTCCCCACACCCCACTCTCTTTGAAGTGGGGTCTCACTATGCAGCCCTGGCTGTCCTGGAACTCACTTTGTAAACCAGGCTGGCTTTGAGCTCACAGAGGTCCACCTGCCTCTGCCTGAGGTTAAAGGGCTGAGATTAAAGATGTGCACCATCACACACCTGGGCTCTTAATGAGGGAGCAGGTGAGGGTAATTCACCCGAGGATGGATGATAATGTAACTTTGTAGCAAACACCAAGAACTGGTGATCTCGGAAAACAGAACAGGAGACCAGGCATGGTGGCACACACCTGTGATCCCTGCATTGGGGAGGCGTGACACAGGCTGAGTTCAAGGCCAGCCTGCTCTACAAAGACAGTCCCGGACTACAAAGAGAAACAAACAGACAAAAGAAAATAGAAAGGGAGTGTCATTGGCAATGCTAATCAAGCAGTGCCTTAGGCTTTCTATTGCTGTCATAAACACCAAGACCAAAAGCAACTTGAGAAGGAAAGAGCTTATTTTACCTTACACAGGTATCAGTCCACTGAGGGAAGTTGGGGCAGGAACTGAAGCAGCAGCCATCAAGTAACTGTTTACCGGCAGCTTGTTGTTACCTAGCCCAGAACCATTAACCAAAGGATGATATAGCCCACAGTAAATTGGGCCCTCCCACATCAGTTCCCAATGGAGAAAATGTACCACAAGCTTATCTCCCTGGGTGCTTGCATTTTCTTTCTTTCTTCCTTTTTGGTTTTTTGAGTCAGGGTTTCTCAGTAGCCTTAGCTGACCTACAGTAGATTTGTAGACCAGGCTGACATCCAACTGTCAGAGATCTGGGATTGCAGGTATATGCCACAGCTCCCATCTTGGCTGCATTTTCTCTTAGTTTAGATTAACTATGTATACAGTGTTCTGTCTGCACGTACTGCATGCCAGAAGATGGCACCAGATTTCATTATAGATAGTTATGAGCCCCCACCTGTTTCTTTGCTGGGAATTGAACTCAGGACCTCTAGAAGAGCAGCCAGTGCTCTTAACGGCTAAGCCATCTCTTCAGCCCGGCTGCATTTTATTAATTGACGTTCCCTCTTCCCAAATTGACTCTGACTTGTGTCAAGTTGACATAAAACTAGCCAGTACAAGCAACAAAGAAAATCCAAAAGCTAATGCTTAAGATGAATTCTAGTAACAATAGAGTAAATCATGTAGAACACTAAAGTATAACTGTTGGGACCTGTTGCCAGCTAATCTTACGTCAACTTGGCACACAAACTACAGTTACCTGAAAAGAGGACGCCTCCGTTAAGGAACTGCCTCTGTGAGATCCAGCTGTAAGGCATTTTGTTAATTAACGATTGATGGGGGAGGGCCCAGCCCATGGCGGGTGGTGCCCTCCCTGAGCTGGTGGTCCTGGGTTCTATAAGGAAACAGGCTGAGCAAGTCATGAGGAGGAGGCCAGTGAGCAGCACCCTGCATCAGCCTCTACCTCTCGGTCCCTGCCTCCAGGTTTCTGCTTAAATTCTTGTCCTGGCTTCCTTCAGTGATGAAAAGTGCTGTGCAAGAGTAAGCCAGATAAACCCTTTCCTCCCCAACTTGCATGTTGGTCATGGTGCTTCATCCTAGCAATAGAAACCCTAAGAGAAGACCTTTAAGTAAAATGGGCAATTCTCTAAGAAAATAAGATGCCCAATCTTGATTCAAAAAGATAGAGGTGGGAGATGACTCATCTGGTAGAGGTACAGCCAAAGCTGATGGCATGAGTTCAGTCCATGTAGTGGAGGAGAACTAAGTCCTAAGAGTTGTCCTCTGACCTCCACATGGGCACTCATACACACACGTCATTTTTACAAGAGTAAGTTCTTAACAGAATAGAAAACTGACCTTGGAAAAATCATCAAAGAGTCTACTGTGCCTCTGAAGCAAGGAGTTTCTTTTCCATGCCGATTAGGAAAAAAACAGGCCTCCTGGAGAAAATGGGCGGAGAATGAGCTAGTGTTCAGTTCATTGGAAATCAAAACTATGTATTAGAAGCCCAGTTGCAGAACAGGAGGATTCGGTGTTCAATGCCAATGCTGTCTTTAGTTAGCTATTTAAAGTTCCAAGACTGATCTTCTTGAAACCCTTTGTCTAAATAAATAAGGAAAGTCAGGATACATGGTGGGGGGGGGGGGTTGTTTTTTGGTTTGATTTGGTTTGGTTTTTTGAGACAGGGTTTTTCTGTGTAGCCGTGGCTGTCCTGGACTCGCTTTGTACACCAGACTAGCCTCAAATTCAGAGGCCCGCTTGCCTCTGCCTCCCTGAGTGCCGGGATGGAAGGTGTGCCTTAGCACACCAGGCCAGGGCACGTGTTTTCTATCAGTGTGGAAGATAAAAATTTGACTTTGCAGGTGAGAAGTCACTCTCCTATTGTAACAAGGTGAATAAAAGCCAGGCTGTGTGTGTGTGGGGGGGGGGGGTAATGGTGCATGTCTTTGATCTCAGCACTCTGAAGGAGGCAGAGGCAGGTGGATCTCCGAGTGCAGCCTAAGAAATCCTCTCCAACTCCCTATCTTTGAAGTTGGACTATATACTTACTACTTTAATAAAATTGCGCTCCCTCTTAGGAGCGCAAATAATATCTTAATCTCTCAGGAAAATGTACTTGCTTCTTAGGTTTACCAAGGAATTTGTAGATGAAAGATGTAGGAACTGTGGTTTAAAATTTTTCGAGGCAAAAACGCCAAAATATGTTTAAATCTACATCCTGGGTATATATGACTATACTGTATCCACTCATGGTTAGACTTTTAGAGACATTTTTTTAAAAAAATGCTTTCAGTACGTAATGCTTTCCCCTCCGCAGAGGATTAAAACTGTTCAGCGCCTGCGGAGTGTAAAATTGGCTAGGGGTGTGCGCCACGCACTCAGTCGACTGATGACCCGCAGAAATTAATCTGCCCTAAGCGGCCAAGGGCTCAGAGAGGCCTGCGTTAGGCAACCCGGCGGGGCGCCCAGCGCGCCTGCGCGGCGGAAGTGCGGGCGTGGTCACGTGGCCGCGGGGGCGGGGCTGCGAGGAGCTGCTGTGAACCCGCTCTGAGGGCGGTGGCTTACCGGGCTTCGGAGCGCGGGGGCCCTGGACCCGGCAGGCGCATGCCTGTCCCCGGCCGGCCCGTGAGGCGAGCGGCGGCGGGCACGAGGCGGTGGAGGCCCGGGGCAGCCGGAGAGCGGCCGGGCGCCCCTCGGGGAGGCTGGACAGCCCAGGCTTGGCCGAGGGCGCTGCTCCGCCGCCGGCGGGCATCATGGCATCGCTGGCCGACCGGGTCCGGGGCAACGGGCGCATCGCCGCCGGGCTCCTGTTCAACTTGCTGGTGTCCATCTGCATCGTGTTCCTCAACAAATGGATCTATGTGCACCACGGCTTCCCCAACATGAGCCTGACCCTGGTGCACTTCGTGGTCACCTGGCTGGGCTTATACATCTGCCAGAAACTGAACATCTTTGCCCCCAAAAGTCTGCCGCTCTCCAAGCTCCTCCTCCTGGCCCTCAGCTTCTGTGGCTTTGTGGTCTTCACCAACCTTTCTCTACAGAACAACACCATAGGTACCTATCAGCTGGCCAAGGCCATGACCACGCCGGTGATCATAGCCATCCAGACCTTCTGGTACCAGAAGAGATTCTCCATCAGAATACAGCTCACGCTGGTGAGTAGCTACAGCTGCTGCTGCGCGACCTTGTCCCTGCCAGCTACCTGGATGTCTTTCTCCCCGGGAAAATTGAATGCACCCTGCTTATAGCCCGGCACCCCGGGAGCTCATTCCCATCATCTTAAGACCGTCCGGTTTATGTGGGGAGGGGTGGAAAAAGCCACCTTGGCACTCCGCTGGCTGTTAGTAAAAGGGTGTGTTTCTGTGGGGTTTACAACTACTGTTTGATGGAAATCTTCAAATGCTGTGATTTGTGGGGTCGGGAGGGGGGAAGCTGCCTTAGATGGAACAGTTCAGTGTGTCAGGATATCCGCGAAAGCTTAACCTGAAAAGAAAAAAAAGTCCTTTTACCACCCTGGGAATCGAACCATGTATGATAAACATGAAATGGTTTACCATAATATCTCAGAATGTGCTTTCAGTAGCATACTGCCAGGGTGCTTTGTGTTTAAATAAAAGGATATTCATTAAAGTAACATTAGCACTTAGTTTTTAATATTTCAGATCGTAATGCTTTCCTTCTTACATGTTTATACTCATTTGTTAAGAACTGGTTTGGGGGTCTAAATCTGTATAGTATGTCCTTAAAACGCACAATGCATGGATTCATTATTTCCTCCCAGATGTAGAGATGTGCCTGAATGCCTGTAGAGAGTTACACTGTTTTACATAAGATTGGAAGTTTTTCCGAACAAAGAAAACATACAGTTCAGTGTTCCCCAAAGATATGTTCCATAAGTTTTGTAAGACATGATTCTTGAATTTAATCTCAATAGAAATTTGCCTCTTTTTCTTTACAGATTCCTATAACTGTAGGTGTAATCCTAAATTCTTATTACGATGTGAAGTTTCATTCCCTTGGGATGGTGTTTGCTGCTCTTGGTGTATTAGTTACATCCCTTTATCAAGTGGTTGGTAATTTTTCTTTCTTTATGTGCCTTTTTAGCAGATTTTGTAAATTTTGAAGCTGTAACCCAAGGTTTAGAAAATACAGTATAGAGACAATAGACTGTTGGAAAGAAAGCATAATTGATAAATTGTCCTGGTGAAGAGAACAGAGGAGACAGAGAAACGTGGGTGTGTGATGCTCACCAAATGCCTGTTTGTAAGTGCACAATACCCAAGCTCAAGCAAAGTTTGGGACAGATGTGTTCTTTGGTTTTTCTTCTGGGAAGTCTTTAGAAAATGAGTAGTAAGGCTTTGTTTCCTAAGTTCATTGGTCATATTTGTCATTTACTCTTTAATTATAAAGTTGCTCTGAAGAAACACATACATTTCCAAACACGAACATGAAAAAAATTCAGATGTAACATATTTTAAACTCAAAAGCAGTGCTGGTGTTACAAAATGTGCTTATTGGCCTTCAGTAATTTGTCTATATCAATAGAGTATTTCTCAGTTTTTAAGCTTTTGTGCAAACACACTGCCTTGCCTGTGGTTAGTTAAGTTTTTTTTTTTTTTTTTTTTCCATGGGTTCACTTCATTACCATAAGTTCCTAACAAGCTGGTTTTTGTGTCCTGTGTAGAGGGGAGAAATAACAGGGTATAGGGAACAGTGAAACAGTATTCTCTCTATACTGAAAACCTTGGCCTGGAAATTCTGGGTGTGCCTGCATAGGGAGCCAAGCGTAACCAATGTTACCTCTGTCACAGATCACCAAGGTGAAAAAGGAAGGCGTTCTAGTTAGGAGTATTAGGTCAGTTCTACACCCAGCACCTTACTCTGTGCTGGCAGTAATTGTCCCAGGAACATTGTTAGAGAAAATAGTACACCTTGGGCGGAAGGTGGGGTCCCCTGAGGATGGATGGGGGCACAGCCTTTGCATTCTAAGCAAGCTCTGTACACTGAGCTAAAACTCACCCAGGCTGCCAACAACTTCAACAACTGCTTCTGAGCCTTCTTTGTCGTCCTGGGGTCACATCCAAGGCCCTGCACACACTAGGTAAATATGCCAGCATTCAGCTATACCTCCAGCTCTCTTTTTTCTTTTTAACACTTTTCTTATTTTGTTTGTATGTACATGTACCATGTGCATATAGAGGTCAGAGGGCAACTTTCAGAGGCCAGAGTCTGTTTTCTCCTATCACGTGGGTCCCTAGGATGGAACTTTGGTAGTCAGTTTTGGCAGCAGTGACCTTTACCCACTGAGCCTCCTTTTACTTTTTGTTGTGATTGTTTTGAGTTTTGTTTGTATGGGGGCGGTTATTTGGTTGGTTTTTGTTTGTTTTGTTTTCTTGAGACAGGACTGTGTAGCCCTGGCTGGCCTGAAGCTCACTATGTAGATCAGGCTATCCTAGAACTCACTGAGATCTGCCTGCCTTCCAAGTGCTGGGACTAAAGGTGTGTGCCACCATGCCGAGCTCTCTTTTTACTTCTTAAGAAAGGATTATAGACATGTGTTACCACATCTGGTTTACTTGTTAAATATTAGGATTTCTTTTACTCCATATTTTTTTGTCTTGTTTTGTGACCATTTTTGTTCTTGAAATTTTTAAATTTTCAAATTTGCTGTAGATTAGAATCAAAAGGTTCTATATCCCTACTGTTGGCAATGAGGTTTATCAAGGAATGACTGAAGACCAGTAGGCAAAGGTTCTGTCACAATAAACCGCAACTATGTCAGAATAAGTAGACACCCCATCTCCACTCAAAAAAATTCCTTGTGAACAAAATTATATCTGCCTCTTGAATCCTAACTGGGTTTCTAAGTTATTTGTTTTTCTGCTTCTGCGAACATTAAGAGGAGGTGAAAGAGGACCCTTCAGCTCTAGCTGCAGAAAGATGGTGGGGTTCTCTGTTTGACAGACATTTGCTTTATGCTCACCCTTGAGGACAGAAAGAGGAAAGGCAGCTGCCGTGCGCCCTTTAAAACGCACACACAGACTCGCACGTGGGTAGCTAGCGGAGGTAGTATCCCTCCAAGCTGAGGAAAGTGCTGAGGAGTACCGAGGAAGAAATGTGACGGATGAGGTTAGACTAGAAGGGAAGTTAATTTAAGGTGGAGGCAGAAATTTGCTCGGCAGTGAAGTAGTGAGGCCCGTCATTCCATGTGTGTGGAAGCACGGAGCACGTGGGAGTACCTGATGTGTTCAGTGAGGCTAGGGTATAGGTATGCGGTGGGAAGGTGATGCCGAGGAGCTAAAACCAGAAGGCAAGGTCTTGCTGTCACTTGGAGGAAATGTTATTCTGCAGACGTCAGCAAAGGAAAATGTTTAGATTGGGAAGAGGCTTTATGGTAACTTCTATTTAAGAAAAATCACTCTAGTGGCAGTGGAGGGTACAGTAGAGAAGAAAGAAAGGGTGAGGAAGCTGGGCTAGGGTGGAGATGTGGGCATAGGACAGTGAGGGCCTTTGGGAGGAAGAATTAGAAGGACCCGACTGACTAGGAGCCAAGACAGTTAAGGAGCTGGGTCTCTGGGAGAGAAGATAACAGCCAAGGGAAGCTCATTTATACACAGAAGGAGCTTGATCTTAAACATGCAGACTAAGCAAAAATGGCCAAGACACTGTGGCACCTGAGAAGTTAGATTCTCAGGGTGTTGGAATAAGGATGGAGGTCAGTGCGTGCCCAGCATGCACGAGGCCCTGTGTTCTATCCCCAGTACTTGGAAGTGTGTTTTAAAGATGCTCAGAGAGGAGGTCAGAGCTGTCTGTGGGTGACTGCAGACAGGAAAACATGTCAGTCAGATGGTACTGTGGCTGTGGCTTGGGAGGTGGTGGGCCTGCTTAAGTAGGGGAGGGGAGGAATGGTTACCCCAAGCTTGGTTGGGACAGTCATATGGCAGTCAGAGAGGCTGCCACAGGCGAGAAGGTGAGCCAGCACTGTCTGCAGCCTTCCTGCTTTTGCTCACAGACGTGAGCGGGCTGGAGAAAAATTGGTTCTTTGTCCTTCACACTCCTAGTGAGAGTCCTAGTGAAAGCTGGCAGGAGTGTGGTCACATTTCCTGTTTTTGCATTTCGGTTGGTGAATTTCTATAGCCTTGCTTTATGTAACAGAATACCAAGATTTAGGAAACAGAGGTCTATAGCAGTTGTTTAAAAACCAGGCTGTCCCTGCCAGATCTGATTTCAAGCTCTGGGCTGAACACTCTCCAGATCCTCTCTTTAGTCATGTTTGTGAAGGATTTTAAGGATGTGGATATACGGTTTTGAAGTTTTTGCAGAATGATACAATATTTTAGGGTTTCCAGTTACTCCATGTTCCCAGGTATATTGGTAGGAAAGCCGACCCACAGACAAGTTCCCTGGAGAGAAAAATGTCTTGTGCCACTGACTGGGTTTAAAGTGGCTCTGAAGTCCACATGCCTTTTAAGCCACATCCTGGGAGTCCACTTGAACTAAGAGAGGTTCTGGTTTATTGGTCCATGGTTATCTCGTCCTGCCACAGTCGTTTTTTCCTTCCATTTTTATGAAGAAAGCAGACAGGCTCTTGCATTTCTGTCTACACTTGTCACCTAAACTTCTACTCCCTCCTTGTTTTTCTAATGCCCTGAAGCATGGGACATTTACTTGTGGGTGCATTCACTTCGCACTATTTAGTAGAATCAGGAAAGTAGAGGGTACCGTTCTCCTCTCTAAGGCTTTGGGAGGTCAGAAATGATCATACACATATTCATAGAGCGCCTTTATCTGAGTACTCAAGGTCACTGATACCGCCCCACTCTTTGAGACCTTGTAGAATCTTGAGGTGTGTCCTCTTCCCCTAGCCTGACCCTGTGTTGCTCTGACCAAATGAAGCTTTTCTTTATACCTGACTTGTTTTATCTCCCGATTTTCAGTGGGTCGGAGCCAAGCAGCATGAACTGCAGGTGAATTCAATGCAGCTGCTGTACTACCAGGCCCCCATGTCTTCGGTCATGCTGCTGGTGGCTGTGCCCTTCTTTGAGCCAGTGTTTGGAGAGGGAGGACTCTTTGGTCCCTGGTCAGTTTCTGCTTTGGTAAGTTGCAGTTGTTTCGGTGCCTAAGACGTTGCAACAGTCACCCCTTTCCTAATGCAGTTTTGGGATTTTGGGAGCATAATCTCAAATCTATCCTCACATTTAATCCCCATGATTACTCTCTAAGGTAGGCAGGATAAGGATTATTTTCAAATGAAGAAACTGAGGCACTGGAAAATGAAGGGACTTGCCTAGAGTGGGGAACTGGACACTGGCAAACCAGGCCGCGGTTCACATTTCCCAATGCCTGGGGACTGTTCTGTCTCTGCCAAACCAGTCGCTGTATTTTAATTTGATGTTTTTTTTTTTAAAAAAAGTGTCATTTCATATAAATATAACACTCATTGTATAGATCTTGAATATATATTTGGGGGGGGGGATGTCCCAGAAACCTAAGATAGCACTTTACCATTTTTTGGTTCTGATCTCCTGCCTTGAGATTCACGTAGAACCTGTTTTCCACTGTCGCACCAGTGATATAGATCTCGAGAAGCATTACCTGGGCTGCAGACTTCTTGGTTTAAGCTCCCTCATAGGTAATGGGACAGCAGCCTGGCAGAGTGAGCGAGGAGCATGAATCCGCTCTAAATACTAACACTGTTCCTTACCAGCTGTGCAGTCCTGGCCAGTCCCTCTACCCTTGTGTGCTCTCAGCTGTAAAGGGGGTACTGTTTGTTTCTCCACATGCCTCAAGGGTGTCTATCTGAAATATCTACAACAATGTTGAGCATGTGAAACGTTTATACTGTAAGCTTTGGTTATCAGGATTTGTGTATGTAGGGGTGTGGGTATGCATACCTGGAGTGGAGGCCAGAAGTTGATACTAAGTCTTTCTAAGTTACTCTCCACCTTTGTTTTTGCAACAGGGTCTCTCCCAGGCCCGGGATCATTCTGCCTCCACCTCCCAGCTACTCCCAGCCTTTATCTAAACTCAGGAAGTCAGGCTTGCACTACTTCAGCACTGAGCCGTCTCTGAAAGCATTATGTCTAGTATCTTCAAGGACTTTCTAAGTCCTTTAAAGGCAGGTGCTTAGTGTATGTTCCTTATCTCGTAGCTATTCAATAAACATTTTGTTTGTTTTGTTTTGTTTTCCGAGACAGGGTTTCTCTGTGTATCCCTGGCTCTCCTAGAACTCACTCTGTAGACCAGGCTGGCCTCCACCTCAAAAAGATCCAACTGCCTCTGCCTCCCGAGTGCTGGGATTAAAGGCATGCACCACCACACCTGGCTCCAAGTTGATTTTCTAATCTTTTTTTTTTTGTGTGTGTGTGGGGGGGGGGGTGCTTGTTTGTTTGTTGTTTGTTTGTTGAGACATGCTCTTACTGTGTATCTCTGACTGGCCTGGAACTCTGTAAACCACACTGTAAGCAGTGATCCTCCTGCATCTACCTCAATATATGGAGCTGGGATTACTAGCATGTGTCATCTTGTGTTTAATGGTTGAAGTTTTCATTTTTGAAAGCTCCTAATGAGACATACTTATTCCTGGTTATAATGATTCTCTTGGTTTATTTGTAGCTTATGGTACTGCTGTCTGGAGTAATCGCTTTCATGGTGAACTTATCAATTTATTGGATCATTGGGAACACGTCGCCAGTCACGTATCCTTTCCATGTACTTTCAAATGTATATATTCTTTGTTTCCCACGTGTTACTGTTGAAGTTAACATTATTGCGTAGCCTTTGTTAAGTGGGCTGGGCTATTTGAACTTCTTTACTGTTGTATGTCATTAGTGTGGGTGTTTTTCTGCATGTGTGTCTGCACATGCATGCCTGATGTCTTTGAAGGCCAGAGAAGCCATCAGATTCCCTGGAACTGAGGTTACAGTGCCGGGAATCTAACCCGGGTCCTCTGAAAGAGCAGCGAGGGGTCTTAACTGCTGCAACATCATTCCAGCCCCTATTTTTTTTTTTATTACACTTTATTCATTTTGTATCCCCCCATAAGCCCCTCCCTTCCAGCCCCTATTTTAATTTGTTAAGAATGCCTTTCCACATTGGTGTCAATGGAACTTACAAACTGAGGAAATGAGTTTGCTTTCTATAAAGGAACACTTTTGAATTTTCTTAAGTAGTAGTTACATTTTCTCTTATAAAACTGACTTAGCACAATGGCTTGCTGATAGTGGGTCTAAGTGATATTTATTGAATATATAGAGGAATGGAGGCTTAGAGTTGAGTCACTTTTTGGTGTAATTTTCCATCTTCGGCATCTGAATTTGGAGTGTGTCTGTATTTGCTTGGAAACAGGTATTCTTGTTTCCGAGTACATCAATGTTCGTAATATTCCAATTTTTTAAAAAATGAAGTTATATATTGAAGGTCAAATTCCACTGCTAGTTTTCAGCCATCTGTCCATCATTCTCTCTGTCTTCGCATTTCACTTTGCCCTACTTTCAGGCAAATGTGAAGAATGAATTTCCTCCTATGAAAGAGGTAGTTTAGTATTGTCCTATTTAAAGAGTATCCTGAGTTAAAGCTGGCTGTGGTGGTGGTTCATGCCTGTAATCCCAGGACTTGGGATACTGAGGCACGATTCCCATGTGTCTGAAGCTAGGCTATAGACTGAGATCTCATTTATAAAACCTGGAGAAGAAAAACAAGTGCTGATTTATATAAATGAGTAAGTACTGAGATGTACAAACAGCCTGTTTGCCAAAATCAGTAAGTAACCGTGATCATAATTTCTTTCAGAAAGCTGGTCCTTAAAACTGAGTTAGACAGTGGTGGCAGCAGGGACCTGAGGAGGGACCTGAGGGACCTGAGGAACAAGGGCGCCTGTGCAGTTGAAGCAGGGTGAACGCAGGAAGCAGGGCAGTGGCCTGAGAAGCAGGGAGAGCTGTGACTGCGGGAGGTGGGAGGCCACTGGAGCTTGCAGTAGAGGTGGGGCACGGTCTCACGTCCTCATGGAAGCACGGTCGACATCTGCAGGGCTGACTGGGGGTTTCTCACCTCGTGCTATTCACGTTGAGGCCAGACTGCTTTGTTTGGAGGCCTGTGCTGTCCATGCGGCAAGGCGTGTGTCTTCCACTAGATGCCAGGAGCACCTCCAGTGCCACCCCATCCCAAGTGTCAAAAATGCCTGCAGACACTGCTCATGTGTCTGAAAAAGTTGGACTAGAAGAGGTGGAAAGAGGGAAGCCATCAGGGAGCCACTAGCACCACCTTTGTGGGGTACAGGGGTGGCCCAGCCATATCAGAGGATCTCGATTTGGTTCTAGCATCCACCATAGGCAGCTCCCAATTGTAAGTCCAGCTGTAGATCTGATGTCCTCCTCTGGACTACACACACACACACACACACACACACACACACACCACTGCATACACTCAGACAGACACACATATAAAAAATGAATATATTTTCTTTATGTGCTGGCTTATTACCCAGAGGTCATGGTGAGAAGTACGGGACTTAGGGACACATTTCCAAGTAGCATCAACAGGTTTACTGAACAGTTGCATGCGGAGAATGTGAAGCCGTGAGGTTGGGTCCCATATATATTGCAGTGGCTGTCTAGGTGTGTGATGTGAGTGGTGGCCAAGATTACCCAGCAAATAAGTCAGAGAAAAGACACTAGGGCTGAATCCTGGGGCACCTTCGGTGTTCATAGAGGGGACCTAGCTAGAAGAGCTGAAGAGAAGCCCTGGAGGGGAGGGGAGAGTGATGATGAAGCCATGTGAGGAGGAGGGCAGGAACCACTGTGTCGGGAAGATTGGCACTTGGTCCCAGACCCAGTGAGGTAAGGCCACTGACCGTGTTGGCCCAGCACTTTCGGGTGAGGCGAAGCCTGACTGGAGGAGGAAGGAGAACTGGAGCTTGTGCTCTTTGCTTTTCCTGCCTAAAAAGAGCCACTGAAGAGTGTCATCAACTTTGCCCTCCCTTTGGCAGGCCATGAGCCGCTTAGCAAGGCTGGGAGTATTTGAAGCTAAGATGTGAAGATAGCACGTCATCAAGGTAAGGCGAGTAACACTGCGGCATTGTGATAACCATGGCTCACACATCCTCAGCATCTTACAAATCAGCTCCACCAAGTCGGTGGACTCCCACACTCCCCTGAGGGCTGCTGCCGAGTAGGTCTCATTTTTGGTCTGTGCTTTTTTTCGTTTCATGGAACACTCTCGTGTAGCCCAGGCTGGTCCCATTTATGATGTAGCTGAGGATGACTTTGACCCCTAATGCCCTTGCTTCAGCCTCCTAGGACCTGGGGATACAAGTCTGTGTCTCCTTGCCGAGTTGTTTTGTTTTTGAAACCAAGAAAAGAGGCTTTGTGTGGAGGTCAGGCAGCCAGGCCTTTGACCAGGTCTGCCGCTTCCTGTGAGCCTGAGCATATCAAGCACTTGTGGTTCCACTGAGGTCGCTTATGAACTGAGGGACATAGTCAGCTCATTGTCCCCATCATTGCAAAGACAGTAGGGTGAGGAAACAGCAAAGAAACCGGGGCAGTGGCAGCCACAGTGCTGGCTGGTCCTGTCAAGCACACAGTTGAGAGCTCACAGTTAGCATGATGGTGCTTGCTGTATACCAGAAAGTAATTATTTAATGCATGTCAACTGTGTAAGGTAGACACAAGAACATCCCACACTTAATAGGATAGGAAACTGAGGCATACAGTGTTGGCTGCTTCTAAGTAGTTAAGAAGAATGCATAGGTTTGTATCATACATCTAAAGAGTGATGCCCCCCCCAAAAAAGATTATAAAATAGAGCAGGAGAATAATTTCTGAAGGGTGTATGTGGTTTGATTTTTTTTTTTTTTTTTTTTTTAATATGAGCAATGGCTTGGGGGAAAACTTGAGTCCAGTAGTGAATTGCTGGCAGTAGATTAGGTTACAGCCTGTACTCTGAAGCTAAATAAGTCCACCTTGTTTAGACCCCCACATTTGAACTCTGCCGTTCGGTTATTATAGTCGCTCTGCTGAGATGACTCAGCAGGTGTACCTTCCCCCAAGCCTAACAACCTGAGTCCCATCTCTGGGGCCCACATAGTGGGTCCGTAAGTTAACCTCTGACCACCGTACCTGTGCCTTGGCATGTGTATGTGCATGGCACACACATGATTACATAGATGTAGTAGTTATCCAAGTCTCCGAGCCTCCACAATTGCAGAATGAGGAGGGTGAGCAGCAGTGGAGGTAGGATGGGATCCTTACAGAAGAGCACTTAACAGAGCGGCGGTGGCTGCTCCCTCTCTAGCTCCTCTCTCCCTTGGCTTCCTACTCTTACGTGTACCAGAAGTTTTCACCGTTTCAGCTCCCCGGCACACCTCAGCTCATTGCCAGTGAGTTTGTTAGTGATGCCATTTCATAGCGTAAGCATAAACTGTTGTGCCTTGTTCCGAATGCCCTTCCTCCCAAGTATTCCCTCTTTGGAGAGGTCACCAGGAAGAGTACCAGTTGAGGTACTCTCTTGTCACTTTGGAGTGTGTATAAATGTAGCTTAGGTCCAACCTGGAAGAGTAAATACTGGGGCTAGCAAGGTGGCCCAGCAGCTAAGAGCACACGCTGCTCTTGCAGAGGACCTGATTTGGTTTCCAATACTGATGTCAGATGGACACACTTGCCTGTAATTCCAACTCCAGAGAATCCAACAACCTCTTCTGGCCTCTGGGGGCCTCACACTCACATGCCCAAACTCACACACAGACATGCACACACACATATACAATTTTAATGCAATATCACCATTTTCAAATCTGTCAGTTGCTAAAGTTATGCCTGAAGAAAGTGCGATTAGGCCAGCCTGTAACCAAAGTGTCTGTTATTAAAATGCATGGCAGCCGTTGAGTGTTACATGAAGTGGCTGTGTGTGTATTAACGTGCATCTGTGTGCCCTAACATTCAGCTCATTGCTCCTTTGTCTCCTTACCTGAACATCTCAGCTACAACATGTTTGGACACTTCAAGTTCTGCATCACCCTGTGCGGAGGATACGTTTTATTTAAGGATCCACTGTCAGTAAACCAAATGCTCAGCATCTTGTGTACGCTGTTTGGGATCCTCGCCTATACCCACTTTAAACTCAGCGAACAGGAAGGAAGTAAGAGTAAGCTGGTCCAAAGGCCCTGAGCTTTGGCAAAGAAAAGAAAGCGGCACCAAAAAGATGAGAAATGTCAGATGTGTGAGTCTGGAAAAGCTGCCATGCAGATGTGACTTACAAGAAGTATTTTCTTTACAGATACGACAGTTTTTGGTACCTTTTATGAATTTTATTTTTTAAAATCAAAATGGTTCAAGCTTCTTTTCAAATACTTTATGAGGCTGGAGCTGTCACTAGATGGGAGAATGTTTGCCTGGCACGCGTGGGATTCTGGCCTCAAACACGAGCACCTTCAAAGAAGATGGTTTCCTTCTACCAACCACAATAAAGGAAAGTTTGGTTCTGTAGGAATGACAGCACTACAATGTTGCAGGCACAACATGGCTGGTCAGTGGTCGTGCCGTCCCAAGAAGGGCAGATAGGAGTCCTCCTGCCCACTCTGCCAGGGTTTCCCAGCATGAGCTTTACTAGACTTCAGTCAGCGTTTAAGCAGTGCACGCAACTGAAGCCAGAGCCTTGCCCTTGCTGGACAAACGCCACCATTGAGCTACACCCAGCCTCGTTATCACTGGGCAGGGGTGTGGTAATAGTTGTCTTGAGCCAGGCTCTCGCCATGTAGCCCTGGCTGGTCTGGAATTCTCTACATAGACCAAGCTGGCTTTGAACTCTGCCACCACACCTGGCCTTTAGCTCCTGTGTTATTTTATTGTAGAACTGGAATATTTATAGAAAGCACATTTTCATAGACATGGTCATAAAACAAATTGCAACTCTGAAAGTATCACTTTTTTAGTAGAAAGTGGATGCAAGCAGTTCTTCCCTGTTGGACAGGGCATGGCTTGTGCACCTCTCATCAGTGGTGTGTGGAAAAGTAGGGCAGGGCTGCCTAAGCCCAAAGCCAGCTCAACAACATAGACTCTGCCTGTGCGAGGGTGAGTGTCTGGGGAAATAAGTTACTGGAGTTGGTAGGAATGACAGTCTCATTGGTCCTCCTGTGGCTTTGAGCTTACAGTGAGTTCTAGATACTGTATGAGGCTAAAACAAAACAAAACAAAAAACCCAGTGATTAAATGGCTCAAAGAAAAGCATAGGGCTAGGGAATATAGCCCCATAGTAGAGTACCTGCCTAGCATGCATGAGGCCCAGGGTACAATCTCCCAGCAACAACAAAAGCAGATTGTATGTGGAATAGAGTGGTCTCTTTATCCCCGTGACTCCTTTCCAGCTTGCTCGAACATCTCATCTTAGTGATTTCTAGCACGTCCTCCCTCCTAACACCTCTTGCCTTCCACATAACACAACAGTGTGGAGGGAGCGGTGAATGGCACTGGAAACTGGATTGGATTATTCCCTTCATTTTCATGCAGAAAGTTAGAGCAAAAGCTATCCAAATTCTAGGCAGAGACGTGGTGAAAAATAGGAAAGATGCGAAAGAAAAGAAACAAAAGCACTAGCTAATATTTAGCTAGTTGTGTAAGGTTTCAGAGAAATAGCGAAATAATTTAGTAGAGATACAGGAAGAATATGGTTTCCAGCAAATAGGACGCTGGGTATTTGGTTGCAAAGTGTAAGTCTGCCTTCCAGGATCTTGACATTTCACCATTAGAAGCAGCACTGAAGACCTCACAGGGGTCATATCTCTCTTGAAATAAATTTTTCTAAACACATACTTTTTGTGGGGGAAAAAAAACAAAACAGCTGAAGACAAAGAACCATGTCTGTACCTACATGTGACAATAAATTTAATCAGAATTTTTTTTTTTTTTTACAGAGAAAGGGAACTTTTAATGTCTCTTAGTTTTTTGTTGGTGGTAGTGGTTTTTAGTTTTTTAACCAAATAAAAAAGCCTGGGTTATCCCTAGCACTGCCAAAACAAAAACAAAACCTTCAAGTAATCAGGAAACAGGCTGTCCAAGGAGGCACACGCCTATATCCCAGGACTAAGGGGGTGGGGGCCTGAAAGTTCCTTGGCCACGTCGCTCACACAGGCCTGCAGGGCAGCCTGAATTACATACTTGGGTCTGTTAAGAGGAAAGGAAGTATACCTGTTTTAGGATTTTTTTTCCTGGCCCATTTAAACTACAGAGTGTCATTAAATATGTATTTTGGAAAAATTCATTGTGTTGACCTTTTGTATATCAGTCTACGTGCATTCTTTTTTGTTTTTAAATCTTATTCTCAGTTTACAAGGTTGTGTTATTGTGCTTAGACTGGCAAATCATGCTACCCTTACCATATGGACCTTTGGCATTATGGTCAAGAAACGTTTTCTCTGTATATTTAAATTAATGTATAACTATTTCCCAAAAGGTAAAAGTATTCCAGCACAGAGATCATCCAGTTTCTGTGCATTCAGAGCAACTGAGCTGATTTGTGCTGTGTACAAACTCTTAGCTGTAAATGAAGCCTGGGGGCCGAGGGTGGCTCAGCTAGGAAGGGGGCGTTACAGTCAACGCTGGTGTCAGTAGGAGTGAGGGACAAAGTTGGAGCAATGAGCAAAGGCACGTTTATGTAAATGAATAAACTGTACTGCTAGAGCCGCAGGCTGATACGCATGTCTGCACCCTGACGACTAGCATCGAGTTGAAAAGGAAGTTCCTGGGGAAAATGCCCCCACACCCTGGAGTAAGCGTGGGGACAGACACTAGACACAGCCCTGTCTTTTTGTTGTAAATGGGGCTGGATTCAGTTTTTATCCTCTCAAATGACTAAACTTCAAGCCTTGCTAAATAGCAAGGACTCTGTTTTCACTTCCGTCTTGCACATTAGAGCCCAGGAAGAGGGTCAGCATCTGTGTGTGTAGAAGCACTGCTCTGTTCTCCTTGCAGACCCTCAGCTCTAATGTAGCAAATTCCAAGTCCCTTTTCAACTATTATAGGTATTATATTGAGGGGGAGGGGCTAGAAGATGGTTCAGTGGGTCAAAGTACTTGCTGCCCAAGCTTGAGGACTTAAGTTTGAGTTCGTAGCACCCACATTTAAAGAACAAAAGAGCAGGCTTGGGGCACTGGAGGGTTGGTGCAGTGGGTAAATAGCACTGGCTGTTTGTTCTTCCTGAGAACCTGGTTGATTCCCAGCACCCACGTGACAGCTCACAACCATCTGTAACTCCATTTCCAGGACATTGATGGCTTTTCCTGGCTCTGCAGGCACCAGATGTGCATGTGGTACACAGACATACCTGCAAGCAAAACAGCCACGTACATTTTTTTTTTTTTTTCTGTCTGTGTAGCTGTTGTAGAACTCACTATGTAGACCAGGCTGGCCTTGAACTCAGAGATCTGCCTGCCTCTGCCTCCTTAAAAGCATACTCCATCCCACCTGGCCATACACATAAAATTTTAAAAATAAAAACTAGGCACAACTGTATGGAAACCCTTAACCCCAGTATCATGGAAAGAAGAGATGTTGGGCCGGGGGCGGGGGGAGGGGTGTCCCAGGCTTCATAGGGCCAACCTAGCTTCAGGTCTGGAACAAGGCAGAGTGACAGATCGTGGCTTCCTCATAAACTGCATGCAGTGCTGAGAACACACATGCTGCCATTGACTGCACGCAGTAACACTGAAGGGAAATGGAAAGCATTAAGATAATGGGAAGGAGGCGGGTGTGGCCGTACACGCCTTTAGTCCCAGCTGAGGCAGGGTCTTTGGGTTGGAAGCCAGCCTGGTCTCTATAGAGAATTCTAGGCCTAGGCGGGGCTACCTAGTGTGGCCGCTGTAGCAGCGCACTTCCTGCCAGGCTGCAGGCTGGCTGTTCTGGGCTAGCAAGGGACACTACTTGCTGAGGGTTCTGTTAATTGTTTGCAGCTTTGGGCATGCCCCTGAGCATCTGGATAGTGTGTGTGTGTGTGTGTGTGTGTGTGTGTGTGTGTGTGTGTGTGTG